GCATCCCAATCTGTATTGTTTTTCATGTATTTATTTGTAGTTGTTTGATAGTTTTCTATCGATTGGTTATTTTTTCTGCTCGTTTTGAGGGCTTCTCTAGTATTTTCTGTGTTTTTACCCCCTTTTTCGTGATTGAAAATGTGTGGAGTATTGTTGTTTTTGACCTCTCCTGTCACATATTTCCATTTTCATTACATGGATTTTATGCAGTCTTATGTGTGTGCCAACAAACAAAAAATCAAGGTAAATGTCTATTAAAAGTACTCAGTTTTCATGCACTAAGAATGTTTAAACTATAACTCTAATGTGTTAACATGGAAAGCAACTACCGGTAAATACAAAAAATGAAGTGAAAATATTTATTTGTATACAATGACAATATAAATACTATCTTGATAACTTTACTTGAGTTAATATACCTGTTACAATCATAGGAGGTTACAATCTGCCACAGTGTGCCTGTCACTGTGAAACACCTGTTTTGACACATGTTAATGTCCAGCTCTCCACAGTTGTCACCACCTAATGCCCTAAGTTAGACCCCTCATCCAGCAGTTAACCAGCTCCACACGGCAGAAGAAACCCTCACACAATAGTTTGTATACGAAGACACATTGGTCACACAATAGTCTGGCTATGAGGAACTCGCACTCATCGGGGGTTAATGATCGTCGGCCATTGGTGTGGAGCCCATTAGGCCATTGATCTGGCTAGGTCTTTTATGCCACCTGGGGAAAGGAATGTGCTCGCTCTGCCATTGTGTCTGTCTGTCTGCAAGTGTCACTGAGTGGTCATATAGCCCGTGTGTGTGTGTGTGTGTGTGTGTGTGTGTGTGTGTGTGTGTGTGTGTGTGTGTGTGTGTGTGTGTGTGTGTGTGTGTGTGTGTGTGTGTGTGTCAAAGAGAGGTCAATCAAAGCAGAACGGACCCTATTGTCACACACTGTGCGGAGACAGTGGAGGATTTCTGAGGTCTGCTGGTCAAGGGTCATTGGCTCTGGATTGATTTAAAAGCAGAAATAATGACACGCGGAAAAACAACATTTGTGAACTCACACTGGCAACTTTTGACACAAACACATTTTGATATTCTTAAACCTGACCAGTGTGCGGTTCCTTACACACCAGGGAGGTAGATAAATGATATTGCACAGCTCAGCACCTTTGGCCACTACGTGAGGCGAATACATACACGGCTCACGCACAAAGGGAAGAAAAGAGCTTCATTCATAGCTGCTTCTATTAGTTGCCTGAATTTATCGCCTCTTCGTCTAAAACATCCCTCTTTAAGGACAATACAACTTCTCCATGGGTAGAAAACAACTAATTACAAGCACTCTTGTGCTTTTAATTGAGCAGATTCTTTTCATCAATTCCACCTATAAAAATAACCCCAAAAAAGTGTTTAAATTAGAGTTTGGATCAGGCAGACTGCTAAATATAGTGTTTATATTGGGCAAAAGGCTGTACATTACACCTTTTATTAAAAGTTAATGAATGATGTATTGAATTATTTGTATATGCATATAATGTCATCTATTATCACATATTACTTTTTTATAACTTCAATAATATAATTTAAACATATTATAAATATTGATATGTATTGACTTTCAAAAGGCTATAGGCTTTTACAACTAATATTTTTCAATGTTACCTTCAACGAGCAATTTCGCATCTACTTTAGTCACATTGAAGTTAGCATGTTTTTCTTGCTCCACGCCTCAATTTTCTTCACACATTTTTCTGGATTCTGTGTTTTTGGAGCAAACATCTGTTGGATCTCAGACTTACAGAAAACACTGAGAACACACAGCTGGGTTTTTTTTGGGGGGGGTTAGCGCTTGGTCTTTAAATGTCCGAGGCCGCCAGTTGGTCTGCCATGTAATCAGAGTTGAACTTGGAGAAGGAAAGAAAGTGATGTCCAACACAAGATGAGAGAGTATGTATGTGTGTGTGTGTGTGTGTGTGTGTGTGTGTGTGTGTGTGTGTGTGTTCGTGCGTGCGTGCGTGCGTGCGTGTGTGTGTGGGGGGGGTCTTCCGTCGGCAGGACAATAGACAGTGGCAGCAGCAGCTGACCAGAGAATCCCTTCTTCTTTTGTCATCGTGTATAATGACGTCTCCACCACACACACACTCTCTCTCTCCCTCTCTCTCCCCCATCACTACTCATCCCCTCTCCCTCCCTGCTTGATTTGGCATCAAGAGACTTCTGCATGTTCTTTCTCTCTTCCATCCTTTTTCCTGGCATCTCTCCTTTAGCCATTCCTCCCCTGTGCACAGTTCTCTCTATATATCATTGTCTGTGCGCATGTGTCTTTCTATGTCTGTGTTTGTGCAAGTACGCGGGTTTGTATATGTGTTTTGCAGCCTTTGCTCCTAAAGAATGTAACCTCTGAGACGCTCTCCAAACTCAGTAAATATCTCCACTACAGGCCATATGTTATCTGTGTGTGTGTCCAGCTCCCATCTGTGTGCAACCTGTGTGTATTGACGTCTGTTTCGCTTTGTACAGCATGTTCTTGCCTTCCCTCTATCCACTTTTGTATTTTCTCTATCTGTTTTTGGTTAAGTGTAGGACTTTTTATTTGCAGCGGTGGAAGATTTTGAAATATCCAAAAGCTCCATTACAACAATGTACCAATAAGCCATGCTTCTAAATTTAGAAATAAATATTCTCAACAAAACCAATCATAAGTAAAAGCAACTCTGTAAATGATACTTGAGTTTAAAGAACCCCATGGTGGTTAGATGACTATTGGGGGAGGAAAAAATGTGAACAGTTCTGCTACACAAATGTGTTTCCATTAGTTTAGTCTGTTAAATAAACCATGGTAGGGGTAATGGAGCAAGTCATTTTTGGTGGAACTGCAAACATAGGTGTGGACATCATATGGACAAACCGGGCCTCCTAACTATAGGCCAGCTGATTAAATGTACTTGGTGAAAAATATTTTTCCAGGGAAATTTTATTTAATTAAACTGCTAAGACAAGCCGGAGCCTAAGCAGGTGTTAAAGTTAAAGGTCTGCTGAGGGCCTGGCTGAGAGTGAAACGTGCTTACAACAGTATGGTGGAAGTCTGGAGGTCTTCAGCTTCATTCGGACAGTAGGGGGAGTATTCTGTATTGTGAGGGAAGATGGAGGTCTGCTTTTATCATTTGAACGGTCCTGAATGTTAAAGATATGTCCACAAATTGAACTTTTGTACATCAATTACTCAACTGGTGTTACCTAAAATCATTGTAGAATCTTTTGTTTTTCTCGTATTCCTCAATGGTGAACAAAGCATCAAAAAATGAAGAAGTGAAAATGAAGTAGACGTTTAAAAAAAAAGAAGCAAAACTCTATTTAAACATCCATTTACAAACTCTTTCACAGTAATTGCAGTGTAGGTGTTATGTTTCCAGTTGTATGCTCACTTCTACCAAAACACTAACCATGAATTGTGTAGTAATGAAGTAATTCTGGTTAACTTAAGATGGTATGCCAAGTTGGAAAAAGCAAGACACTGAGCTGATGTGAGGAACCAGCATGCTGGGAATTTTTCCTGCCAAACATGTGTTTAACTCAGCCTGTCTATGCAAAGTTCTGCATACTCGAAGTTATCGCTTCCTCTCTCTCTTCATGGGAACTTGCTCTTTCTCCTCTCCTGAAAAGCATACTGAAGTGTGTCAATACGGCCTCTCAGTGAGTGTGTGTGTGTGTTTCTCAGTGTGTGTGTGTGTGTGTGTGTGTGTGTGTGTGTGTGTGTGTGTGTGTGTGTGTGTGTGTGTGTGTGTGTGTGTGTGTGTGTGTGTGTGTGTGTGGTGTGTGTGTGTGGTGTGTGTGTGTGTGTGTATGTGAGTGCGTGCGTGCGTGGGTGTGTGTGTGTGTGTTTTTGGTTGCACCAGGTGATATGGCCTGGTACGGAAGGTCACCGCTGTGATGTCACTTCCCCTTCCTTTCCGGATATTCCCAGCATTCTCCTGCCAGCAGCCGGGAACTCTGGGAAATAAGAGCAGGAAGCCTGGCTCCTTCGAGAGAGAGGTGTGGGGGGGCATTATTATTAATATTATTAACTTATTTTTAACATTGAATCTCTTTGTCTACTTTAAATACATGTTATTTTGTTATTTCAATACTTGAACCCTGTTTGTCTTGCTTCTTTAATAGGTTCTACTAGTTTGTTACTATTTCCTATAAGGAGGTCTCAATACAGGACTAAATCAGGAAAACATTGAAAACATCCTTAGAAGGAGATCTGATTCTCAGAAATGCTAACTTGAATTATACAGAACAAATGTTTCACATGACTTATTTCCTATTTGTTATACAAGTTGCTTTGAAATAGTTGCAATGTTAAGTGACTCATTTTCTATAGAAATACAAACTAAAAACAAACCTATGAGGATGGAGCTATTGTGAATTCTTGGTGTCTTTTTTGTGTAGGCCTATTTCAGATTTTGTGAAATACATGTCGATCATCTGTAAATAGAGCAATATCGCCCCCTCCTGACTAAAGCCACTCAATGACAAACAAAGTGGAATGTGGCAACGTACATTTCCCAAGTAGGCTACTGTACTCGAGTACAATTTTGAAGTTCTTGTACTTCACTTGAGTATTTTCATTCCTTGTTACTTTATCTTTCTTCCCCATTACTTTTCAGGCAAATAGTGTACTTGTAATTATTGTAATTTGTACTACATTTATTTGACAGCTGTAGCCTAATCAACTTTGCAGATCCAAATTATTATTACTTAAATATATTAAACTTATCATTATGGTGTCTTCAGGCTACCTAGAAGTTTATAAAGTATTTGAGATTAGCTCCACCTTTATTAGCAACAAATTTGAATAGATATATACATATGAATGCATCAGCATTTAAGAGGATAATATAGTTTATATTTTCGTCTCAAATTAGTCATGTTGCTTGGCTTTGCAAGTAAAAAAAAAAAGCTAAAGTTATGAGATCAGACAGAGTCACGTGGTCAAAGTTGTTTACCACGTGTTCTGAGTCTGCGCGTCACTTCTAGAAAAACGCAGCCGCCGGGGTGAGTTGGGACAGCTAGTGCTTGTTGTTTTTCTAGCTAACACTGTAACGGTTCCTACACACGGCGGAACCAAACTGCCTGCCGCGGTGCTTCATATTACGCTGTCAGCTCAGCTGACTCACCAGAGGGACATTTAGATCAAATACAACTCTGGCAAAACAGCAGAGAGCCACACTGTTGGAGCTTCTTCAAAACAGCTAGCATCAGCTAGCGGAGCAAAGGTAGCCTGCTAGTTGCGTAGCAGCAATGGAGTGGCTTGGTAACAGCGCTTTACTTCATGATGAAGAGTCGAGCAGTGACCCAGCTCCAGCAGCCAACGGCTTCAGCGGTGTTCATCCTCACCAGCAGGTAATAACCTCACGCTAGAGGTCGGGTCGTTGTTGACGAAATAACTACCTTATTTGGCATCGCTGAGGTAACCTAACGGTATTAAAAGCATGCTAACTAGCTAAACCTGTTTAGGGATCAGTAAAGTTGGTTCATGCCAACTTGTATTGCTTGACAACAACACATGTGCTTGAGCATGTTTTCAGTGTATTCAGTGCCTCAGTGTCTACCTTATCTGTCATTGTATTAGCAGCTAGCTAGCATATAGCGTGCAGACAATAACTGTCACCAGGGTCCAGGCTGCATGCCAGAGTGAATGCTGACCTCATGTCCACCCAGTTGCTCTAGCTATATATTAAGCTAGCTATACATTCTTACACATCGAAATAGAAAGCAGATCTCAGGCTGTCCCGATCCTGTCAGGACATACAAACATACTATCAGCTCCAGCGAGAGATCATGTATGTGAGATGGGGAGATTAAGAGGCCACATCATCACATGAAGCAGCAGCTCTCCTTCTCAATGTAATCCCACAGGTCCTCGACATTATCAGACATTGACAGCTGTGTGTTCTGCTGTCTATTGTTGTCTAGAATAGGATTTAGATGTTTTGGGAGCCATGATCAAAATGGAAAGTATGTTATTTTTAGCCCTGTCGCCCCACCCTGTACCAAACACAGCATGGTTGTCGTTGAAAGGTCTTTCTTTTGGGATTGAGTGTGAGCGAAGAGCCTAACTATGGAAAAAGTATAATTGGACTATTTAGAAAACTTGGGGAGGAAGAGTATCATGAGGATGTTGTTTTACCACAGGATTATTAAATAAGCAGAACCTATACAAGTAAAAGTGTGTATTCATTTACTTCATTTCACCTTTTCCTCTATTCTTGTCAAACATTTGAATGTATTTTGTGTGTGCATTTGAATGCATTATGTTGTAGCAGAATAAAGGAACGCACTGAGGTCACAATTCTATGTGTTTATTTATTGCAAGCAATATCATTTTTGGATATTCAACAATGTCATCACATAGTATCCTCATATCATACAGCCCTTACTTTGAAGCACATTACAGTTGCAAGAAAAAGTATGTGAACCCTTTGGAATTACCTGGATTTCTGCATAAGTTGGTCATAAAATGTGTTCTGATCTTCATCTAAGTCACAACAATAGACAAACAGTCTGCTTAAACTAATACCACACAAACAATTATATGTTTTTATTGAACACACCATGTAAACATTCACAGTGCAGGGTGGAAAAAGTATGTGAATCCCCTAGGCTAAAGACTTCTTCAAGAGCTAATTGGAGTCAGGAGTCAGCCAACCTGGAGTCCAATCAATGAGACGAGATTGGAGGTGTTGGTTAAAGCTGCCCTGCCCTATAACAAATACACACCAGTTTTGAATGAGCTATTCTTAAGAAGCATTGCCAGATGTGAACCATGCCTCGCACAAAAGAGCTCTCAGAAGACCTACGATTAAGAATAGTTGACTTGCATAAAGCTGGAAAGGGTTACAAAAGTATCTCTAAAAGCCTTGATGTTCATCAGTCCACGGTAAGACAAGTTGTCTATAAATGGAGAAAGTTCAGCACTGTTGCTACTCTCCCTAGGAGTGGCCGTCCTGTAAAGATGACTGCAAGAGCACAGCGCAGAATGCTCAATGAGGTGAAGAAGAATCCTAGAGTGTCAGCTAGAGACTTAAAGAAATCTCTGGCACATGCTAACATCTCTGTTGACGAATCTACGATACGTAAAACACTGAACAAGAATGGAGTTCATGGGAGGACACCACGGAGGAAGCCACTGCTGTCCAGAAAAAACATTGCTGCACGTTTGAAGTTTGCAAAAGGGCACCCGGATGTTCCACAGCACTACTGGCAAAATATTCTGTGGACAGATGAAACCAAAGTTGAGTTGTTTGGAAGGAACACACAACGCTATGTGTGGAGAATCCAAAGGGTTCACATACTTTTTCTTGCAACTGTAAGTCCATGCCTGTCGTATTAGATATGCTATTTAAATAGACTTGGTTTAGTGGTTTAATAAATGTGTATGTGATGAGGATTAACTGTCAATTTGACTCAACTCTCTGACAGTATATTGCCTTTCTCTTAGTCCTAATATCAGTTTCATCTGTTCTCCTCCCATCAGTCACCGTTGTCGCACCGCTGCGATTGTGCCATGGCGTCGCTGTGTCAGGGCCGCTGTGTGAAAGCCTCCATTGTGTCCAGCTGGAGACTGGCTGAGGCCCAGGATCAGCTCTGCTCCCTGGGCGTCCACAGCTCAGAGTCGCTGGAGCAGGAGCGTGCTCGGACAATGGCCTGCCCCACCGAACTCACGCACACTGAGGAGGAGTGGCGCCGCAAGGAGAGCATGCTGGGAGGTCAGGAGCCCAGCCGCAGTCCTGTGCTCGGAGCTGCCAGTAGTTGGGACGTTTTTGATAAGGTAGACTATCCGTTTTGTGTGCGTTTGTTCCACAATTTAAGTGAGCTCTCATGACGCATAGAGATGACATGGAGTATTTAAAGAGAGCAATTATATTGTGTTGCATGTTCTTATTCAACTGTATACTTACTGTCTGTAACCATTTTCTTTACAATATCAACAGTTAGTCATTGTCTTTTCTGTCTTCCAGAGTATTATCAATGTTCAACATCTCCCTGAAGATATGGATCAGGAAAAGTGCAAGACGTTTCTTCAAAAGTTTGACCAAGAGCTCCGGCATTTTGGTAAATGAGACTTCAAATATAAAGTTTCTTTCATGACTTGTCTTGCCCTCATACTTGTTGGGACTTTTAGTTGAATAAGATGTGTTGAAGGCAACGTCTGTTATGACTAAACTCAACTAAGTACAAGATGAGGTTGATAGATTTTGGAGTGCACATTTTACATGTAGAATTTGCATTACGTTTGCTCATGACAGAATGGGTTGCATGTTCTTTGACAACCACAGGCAACTAGGTGAGGACTTAAAAGTTGGGTCAGCTTTTTGTTTTGATGTAATCATCCCATATCTACTATGGCCTTTTTAAAGATTTGCATGCACCTGATTTGTGTTTAACAGTAAACCTTTTTCGTTTCCAGCCAACATGAACCGTTATGCTTTTTATCTTTGTGTCAGGTATGTTACACAGATGGGATGACAGTCAACGATTCCTTGCAGAGATGCCTCAGATCATCTGTGAGGAGACGGCAAACTACTTAATTCTGTGGTGCATGAGACTACAGCAAGAAGGGGTAATGTACTGAAAACACCCGGTTGTTGTTATTTATAAAAACAAAACCTGTAATATGTGTAGTCAAAGTCTGATACAGTGGAATACTCCAGAAACACGTTTTAAACATAGAACCACTGCCTGAGCATGTTCACTGACATCTTGAAAACACAGTTGTGGAGTCATTTTAGATTAGAATGCATCTGGCCATTTTCATTAGTGTAATCAAAGTGTTTCACTTGTCAAAGTAAGGCAAGGCAAGTTTATTTATATAGCACTTTTCAACACAAGGCAATTCAAAGTGCTTTACAAAAAATGAAAGAGATTAAGAAAATGGCATTTAAAATCAGTCATTAAAAAGAAAAGCTAATAAATTAAACATTAAAAGAAAAAAGTACATGGATAAAAGTTACAGTGCAGTCTAAGATATGAATAGTTCAATTAAAAGCAGCGACAAAAGAATAGTAGTAGTAGTACAATAAATCCCAGAAATGACTTAATACATATGTTTTGAACATGACATCAAAACGGTGTTTGTCCTGCAGAAAGAAGCCCTGATGGAGCAGGTGGCGCACCAAGCTGTCGTCATGCGCTTCATCCTGGAGATGGCCTCGACCTCTCAGCAGGATCCAAGAGGCTGCTTCAGACACTTCTTCCACAAAGCCAAAGTAAGACCAAACATGACCTGAGATGAATCCCCTCGATCCCCAAAACTGTCGTCTCCTGGGTTAAAAAGGCATGTAGGCTACTGCCAAAATTGCCCCCTTCATCATAGCTAGTTATTTTACATGTAGCTTTAAAAAATATATATTTTAAAACTGCATTTGCACTCGCCACATCCTGTGAAAAACATTACATTTTGTGCTCGTCGAGCCAACCAACCATGATTGACCCGGCTGAGAACAACAGTCGCGTGACAAAAACTTAGTGAAACTTCAACTGAACTGCCGACTGTTTACAAAGCGCAGAGAGGAGAAGAGGAGTTTGTATAAATGTAAATGGTTTAATATGTAAAGCCCCCATTTGGACTCCAATATGGGTAACCTTTCAGGACATTTCGTTTGCCTTTTTCCCAATTTTTTTATTTCGTTATAATGCACAATACACGTTTAAGTTCTCCTTAGCTCCAGCCATGATTGTACTGTCTCCATAGGGGTGCAGGAATTATATATTACAGTTAAAAAGCAAGGGCATGGTGATTTAAAATGAGAAGGGTGCGAAACACTCCGTGACACTGCTTGTGGTTAAAAAGTTTGAATACTGTGTGTGAAAGTTTGATTAAAGCTATGCATGTTTTCTAATATTGTCGCTTGGTTGTTCCGTAGGAAGGACAAGACGTCTACTTAGAAGTCTTCCATTCAGAGCTCGAGGCCTTCAAACAGAGAGTGAGAGAATCCGCACTCAGGTCCAGATGTGACGCACTCCATAATGTAGAACCACAACAAAGTGACACAAACTGCAGAGTTAAACCCAAAGAAGCCCTGGACTCGTTTCCTATAGTAAGTTATTCTCCTCTTCACAGGCTGCAGTTCCTCTACTCAGCTGGCAGATGGCGCCACTGAGTTACTGAATGTTAGTGCTCTGATAAATGGAGAACTCATAAGGCTTTAGTTGGATGCTGGATTTTAGAGCATCAGCTCTCGTATTCTATTTTTCAGTGGTATAATTCCCACAAAATATGCAAATAACAATTTTCACATACAGTAAATTGTAAAAGTGCACCAGGGAAGATGCATGGGAAGTCAGAAAACCTGGAGTAAAACACAAGTAAGCACTCTAGCAGCTGCCCAAAGATGGAGTTCATTATGTGTCTCTTTAAAATCCTAACATCTCCCACACAGAAACTTTGATAACGGAGCAGTAGTGCGAAAGGGAATAGTCAATATATTTCTCTTGTATTGCATCAGTGTGTCACCCTTAAGCAATTATTGTAACTTGTTACAAGAAAGAAAATCAAGGCAAAACTTCCATTCTAACGTATGGGCTAAATAAGCCGGTTTTTTCCAGGGGTTTGCTTTGCAAGGCTGTTGAAATAAACAGACGCAGTATAAAAATGGCGATGGAGAGAGCCTCGGGGTGATTAACATCTGTGATAAAGAAAGAAATGATTATATTATATGTATTACTTGGTTATACAAATGAATTCATGTTTCAATAGATAGTAGCCTCACCATCAGTGTTCCATCTAATCATTGTATCAGCAGCGTAGCTATCACAGTAAATCCCCACTCAGACGTTATTATTGTCCTACGTCAGTGGTGTATTAGCTCCAATGTGAGCACATAATCCCTCTGGACAGAGATCTGAGGTATTCAGAATAAATAATTCCCAAATAGCATATTCCACATGCTGGCTACTTAACCTGTATCTTTATAGTTTGTAAGCCTTTAGTTGGCGAGAGAGAAAGAGGCCTCCTCCCCTCTGTGGGCCTCACAGCTTGATAGGCTGCCAAAACTTCTTCTCTGGGAAAAAAAGAAAACACTTCCTCCCCCCCCCTTCTCCCACACAGGGATGATGGCTACTCAGGAATGTGATCGAGCCTGTTGAAAGTGAAGCTCATGTTTGTGCGTTTTAGTTCATGGTTGAAATCTCTACTGAACATTTGTGAATTCATGATCATCTAAGCTTAAACTCAGATTAGGGCATGAAATGCTAAAGAGGCAGAGTGCGGTTACATAACCATTATAATCCTCTAACTAGGCAACAGGGATCTCTCCATCCGTCTTTCTCCAGCCACATTCAGACTGATTTTGTGCATGACAATCCTGTAAAGACGCAGTGAAGGATAAAGTTACACTGTGGAGCTTTACTTATGTATAACCTGCCTTCTCCTGAGCTCCCTGTATTGATAAAGTAACCTGTGAATGTTTTTTGATATGAAATGGACTCTCTCCCCCTCCTCTAGGTGTCCGAGTATCCCAAGAAGCGTTACATAGAGGACGGACTGTGGACAAGCACAGGGAGGTGGACAAAGGACGACGCTGCAGAAACGGACGATATGCGTATGATGGAGACCTCCTAGGCTCCTGCTTCTCCTCCATCTCCCCATTTAGGAGTTTTAAAGTCCTCTATACCCAGCAGAGCAGGAATAAAAGGAGACTTGATCGGTCTTTCACACCGCAGGAAACAATGTTTTGCCGATAAGAAACATTCCTCTGTGTTGTCCATACTGTGGAGTTCCTGCAGTGTCTCATGACGGCTAAAAGCCCGCGTTGCAACATAATCCTGGTGGTGCAGATGGATTTCTGATATCCTTTAAGCTGGTTGCATTTTTTATTTCTCCTGGAGAAAAAGGGAAACCTTACATGGTAGGAAAAAACAACAATTGATCATTTAAACCAGGCAATACAAAGAATACTAAACGACTTATTTGGGCAGTTAGGAACCAAATCCAATGCCTGAAGTAGGACTCAGGTTAGTGGACTTGAAAGGATTATTGTAAACGCTGCTTAAATGAATGGTGGACAGCATGACTGACAGATGCTGGCTTTTTCTGAAGATTTTCATTGAATAGAAACATCTGATCATGTAGCACCATACTGTAGCTACTGTAAAACACACAAGTCAGTTGTCAAACAGTCTGGATCATGAGAAAGTTCACCTGTGGTGTTTCGCCTGGAATGGAAAACAAATATCCTTCCGGGCAAATGTACACGTTTTCTCAATCTAATGTCAGTCGGCGTAACTTTTTATATTCGGTGAAACATGCTTGTGTTTGAATGGCGTGATGTTTGAATCGGTAACAAATACAGAGAGCACAAGCGCTCCAGTTGGGCTAACCTGGGTTTGTGTTTTCTCCAGCAACTTGTTTGGCTATAAGGAAATGACGGTATAGGAGTAAATGGTTTGTTCAACAGGTCAGATTCATCTTCCAGTGTTTGGACTCACAACTGACTTGCATGTATTAAGCAGCACAAAGGCTCATTACCAGGAGAGGATAAATAATGCAATCTGTTTTTGAAGGATAGGCAGTTAGCTGCAGAGTTGGGAGGCATTAAGATTGTTGGTGCAACATTTACTTTGCTTTTGTCAATCATTATTTTGTCGACAGCTGCCTTTTTGGACTTAAGTGAATCAAGAGTTCAATGATGGTGATCTTTGACTGCTTTGCTGAGTGGCTGGCACGTGACAGTCAGGAATTACAACTTCTCTAAAGATTACACTAGAGGTGGTTTTAATGTTTAAGTTCTTCTGAAAAAATAAGTAGTTATTTTTGTTTTTGCGTGAGGCTTAAGGTGTCTTGGTAATCAGACCTCCTTGACTACATCTTCCATTCACATGCAATTTACTCGATACACGTAATGGCTACAAAGTCCATTGAATCTCAAGTCCACATACAGCAACAGATGTTGATGATAATTGTTTACGTGGCTGACTTTGCTCTTATTGTCCTCTTCTGTGACATCATAATCCACTCTTTACAACAATAGTCAGTTGCTTATTTATTTAAGCAGCTTAACATAATGCAGCGATGAATAATGAGCTATAGACAATAGTGCATGAGGAGCATTTTCCAACTCAGCATTTATTACTCAACAAAGCACACCGGTTTTGATGCAAAGAGGCGAAAGTCAGTTTGAGGCAATCTTGGTCTCTAGTGTTAACAGCAAAAAATATCTTCTATCACTACGTTTGTTTAGTTAATTAATTAATTAATTAATTTGACGATTTCAAAATCATAGCCTCAAATTTGACACAGGCAATGTTTTAGCTTACATTTTCTCTACCAGCTTCCCTCAACATCTGGAACATCTGTCAGTCTCCTTTTATACCAATGCTCTGCAGACTGGACTCAGTGTGTGTGTGTGTGTGTGTGTGTGTGTGTGTGTGTGTGTGTGTGTGTGTGTGTGTGTGTGTGTGTGTGTGTGTGTGTGTGTGTGTGTGTGTGTGTGTGTGTGTGTGTGTGTGTGTGTGTGTGTGTGTGTGTGTGTGTGTGTGTGTGTGTGTGTGTGTGTGTGTGTGTGTGTGTGTGTGTGTGTGTGTGTGTGTGTGTGTGTGTGTGTGTGTGTGTGTGTGTGTGTGTGTGTGTGTGTGTGTGTGTGTGTGTGTGTGTGTGTGTGTGTGTGTGTGTGTGTGTGTGTGTGTGTGTGTGTGTGTGTGTGTGTGTGTGTGTGTGTGAAAGGAAGTCTACGTCTGAATGTGTCCTGCACTTTATATCTGGCTGCCGTTAAAAAAAAAAGAGGTGGAGTGTGAATAATATTCTTCCTCATACCGTTTGGTTTTTTTTGTTGTGTTCCCAGTCATCCTATATATATTTTTCATTTTCATCTTACAAGCAGGTTTCAGGTGGGCTTGATTTGTTTGACCTTTTGGAAGACTTTAAGAGAGCTTTTGCCAGATGTATCAGGCTTCCAATAAACTGTCCCCTTCATAATCATTATTTAAGACAGTCAAAACTAGTGTGAAAATATGCTGACCGACACAATCAGTGACATTTTAGCTGCAGACTGTTGAGTTAAAGGTACCGTAGGATACATTAAAGTACAATTCACGTGATTATGACTTAAAGCTTCTGTGTGATGCAATGTTGCTTCTGCAGTGCGTCTGTCATGTCATTCTTCATTGTTTCACAGATCTGCACAGTGCACATATAAGAAGTATCAAATACTGTAAACATAAACAGAGGTATTGTAAGCAGTGGAACTAAAACTATGTGTTGTTGTGATCCTAAATGTGTTTTGGTTTCTTCCTTTTTTTAGTCACAGTGACTTATCAACTATGCAATATAATTGTATGGCTTAAGCTGTTGTTCTGAGCCTGCGGCCACTATCTACGGTGTTTCAACATCCTAAATGATTTAAAGATTATCACAGAATTTGTGAGACTGACAGTATAAGAATGTCTGTCACTAAGATATAATCTGTAGACATCTAGTTATACACTTCTCAAGGTTACTGGAAGAATTGGTTTCTCTTGCTGCTGTTAACTCAAATATAAAACTAAGTGCTAAATGTTTGTATTTTGTTGTTGACTGCTACAGTTCTTTGTTAAATCTGATACATTTATTAGATGTTGGTTGAGAGAACCAAGTAGTGAACATTTGATAAATTGTGGACTTCTGTAGCTAGCACTTCATCTGTGCTTGGAGCCTATACTAGCATAAGGCACCCAGAGCCATGTGAAAGTATGTCTTCAGTTGCATTCTGGGTAATGTAGGCACCAATAAAAATAAAAAAACCTCTTGTGTGTCAAATTTCATACATGAGTCAGACAGTGTTGGAAAACAGCTGAAGGTGTAGAAGGCTACTTTAACTGTCAGATCATTCTAATTACATCAATGACTTATTCCGTACTGGTTTATACAATAACACACTACATTCAGTAAACCAGCGTCTGGTTTATTGTGATTCTTAGTGCAACTCATAACACATTTGTCTACGAGAGGATGTGCTTTTTAGCATTGTATTCAAGTGTTAAAGAAATACACAGTACAATTCAGGACAGATTCACTGCATGAATGAGGCTACAGTACATTTGCAGGGCACATTAGCATTTCTGTGGCTTTTAACATGACATTCGTAACACAGAACTGATGTTATTTCAATTAAGTTGTCAAGACACATTTAATGGCAAATATCAGTATACATTTATATAATTGGTTGTCATGAGGAATGTCTGGTTAACATGGAATCAATGGGGTGTATTTAAGACTAAAGGTGGTCAAAAGAAGCTGCCACATGATTGTTTTTAATTTAAATAATTAAATATTCCAAATAATAAGTTTGGTTTATACTAGGGCTGCTCGATTATGGCAAAAATCATAATCTCGATTATTTGGGTCAATAATTGATGTCACGATTATGAAAAACGATTATCCATTTACTTTGAAAACATTAATTTATTGGAGAAAAAAAAATGTGAACTGTATGTTTTTAACAGTTGATTACCCTGAACTTTAAGTATAATTCAACTGAAAAACCAATACAAAAAAAAAGTAATAATAATAAATAAATAAATCGTTTTATTTTGATTACGTTGTTTTCGTAATCGTTTCAAACCATAATCGTAATCGCGATTAAAATACGATTAATTGAGCAGCCCTAGTTTATACATTATTACAAGCGGAAAGAGGCACTTAAATGCTAAAGTGAATTGACAGTAATTTGTTAAACACGGCACAGTTCCCTTTAGTATTTTCTCACTGCATAAAACACATCCCCAAGGTAGTTATGCCAGGGCAAAAAATATTGCTTTCAAAGGATTCAAAAAAATGAAATGTCTCTAAAAAGATCTTGTGTGTGCCCATTCTTTTCATCAACTAAGATGAAATTAATGATTGCATTTAGAAACACTAAAACTTCTTATTTAGGAACAATGATTTTCTAATATCTGTTTCATTAAAGTCTCTTGGCTTTATAAAGGCACATTTCTATAGAAAGAGACAATACAATTTTTGAAGTACTTTATGTACACATGTTAGGAGTTATTTTAAGTCAACAGCATTGTTGAAAAAGTGGAGGCTTTTCCAAGTACATCTGTTGTCTTACTAACACTTCCTGACATACTCTATGAGCTCTTCACTTTGAACATTCAGAATATATTATTGCACAGATAGCTCTTGTTTTACAGAAAGAGGCACCTGATTGGACGATGTGAGTACAGAGTGGTTTCTGCTGGTAAACTTTACCCCTTCTTGTGCTTTCCTGATCAGGCTTTCTTCTATGCGACTTTCTGTTTGACGGAGAAGAGTTTTTTGTGGAGGAAAGCCTCGACGTGCGGCCAAATCATGTTGGTTTCTGTCCCAGTGAAGGTCTCTAGCACACCGTTACTCCTGGGGGGGTTGGAAAAAACACAGAAAATACAGCCTTAATGTTATATTTTCCTCCTTTTAAGTAAATCTATCCTCTTGTATCCCCAGCCATCTTTTCTGTTCTTTCTTGAGGAAAGGATGAACAGACTCTGGAACATTGTGGTAAAAATAAGTGGGACACAAGCTAAGAACTATGTGAGGTTTGAGGGAACAGAGAAACAGGTTTTCCTGCCTAATTAGTCCAGAAATTGAAATCATGATGCGCATACAAACTGGGTCCACAGCCTCATTTCTCTAGTGTTTGTACTTTTGCCTGAGTTTTCCTAATTCTTTGGGGAAATATTTGTGAATTTCAATAACAAAAGCACTTAGTTAGACACTAAGCCTGTCCCCTTGGAATGTGGTTCTTAAGCGATTGTTAGGCATGTCTCCAGCAGTGAGGAATATGCAGAAAGAGGCCCACAGTCAAAGTTCATCAACATTTGGGTGTAGCCCTTTATATATGGAGTCTATGGTCTATGGGTGTAGATTTATCTTATATTAATGGGGCTAACACTTGGTGTGAGGTTAACGCTGTAATGCAGTCAAACATGTGCCTGTGTTACTTCTTTAGGTTATTTGTGTAAGGCTGCAGGGTAAGTTGTTAGTATATGCAAAGTCTGAATGTATTTGAGACATATGAAACAGGGTGGCAGTGATTTATGTGCACTACCTGTAGTACTCTAAGACGGGCTCTGTCTGGTTTTCATAGGCCTTCAGTCTCAGTGTGACCGTATCAGGTGTGTCATCGTCCCTCTGGACCAGAGGCTCTCCTGTCTCATCATCCAAACCCTGAACAAAACACAAACACAGGTTGTTGCTGACTTAAATGGTGAGAAAATGTGGTGAGAAACCGGTGAGACAGGTAGAATATTGTAGTGTCCATTTACTGCAGGATACAGACACAGCAAAGGGACTAGAATGTAAACACTTCTTAAGAAACACAGATGTTGGCTTTTAAACCAGCTGACCAAGAAAAGAGACCAGGCTGAAAATAGGAAAAGCTGAATAACGTTAAAAGGCATTTGGTGTCTAAGCTATGTGTTGCCACTGTTAGCATGTAGAGTTTAAACATTAGCCAGAATAGCATAAACAGTTGGGGGATGTATGCCAGCATTTTATCCTTTATACACACATTTTGTCCGGAACCACAGGTCTGTTTCAGCGGGAAAAGCACAGGTGCTGCTAATAAGATGAACGATATGGCTCTGCTCTATTCAAGTGTCCCAATGACTCATGATAGTTAGCTTGCATGCACAATACCAGGACCCTGGTACTGGAGCAGATAAATGGATCGTCATTAATTGTATTATTTATGACGTGATAAAGGTTGTGAAAGGGGTTTAAATCTCCCTTAGCATGAACAATTCCACTTACCATGAAATAAAGTAGAATTTCTGACATTAACAGGCTAGAAAACTGATTTTCAGTAGTTAACGTTTGCCATTTGTATCTGCTAGCTTAGATTAGCACGCTCACATTTCCTCACTAAACACAAAGTACAGTTGAGACTGATTGTAATGTCATTAGGTTTTGAGGTATAACTTGTTGCATGAATGAGTCCTTAAAGCCGGAAATGAGTTAGCATTTATGTTAACTTACAGATTGTGCGACTCCAATAGCTAACCAGCAGAACAAAAACGTATCTGCACAGTAGCAGGTGTATTGAACGGCTTTTTTAAGAAAGACTAGAATGAAAAGTCAAGGTCTATGTGTTGAATTGTTTTTGACATTATCTCAAGGCAGTGCAAAAGAAACGCACAAAAGAAACGGTCAAAGTTTTGGTCTGAGACATACCCCCTTGAGTGTTTCAGTATGTTGTTTTGCAAAGACAGTTCCAGGAATATGACAGTGCCTTTAGTTTACCCAGAGAGCTTGCACAGTCTCTAAAGAGCACTTCTGGGTTGTGAGGGAACAGCAGGGAATGTACTGACCCAAAAAATCTGCATGAAATTAATGATTCACGTTTGCAACACCTAAATTATGCCTCAAACAGTTTAAGCTGTTTAAGGCAGGGGCTTAAAGAACTAAAGAAAGACAAACAAATTGGCATTGACTTTATAGGTTAAGTGTCACCTTGTTTCTAATATAGTGTTTTATCTCAAAACAGGGCTTTGAAGAAAAACCAAAGCCAATGATTAACTGTAGCTGTCTTTCTCCTCCAGACTGCAGGAAATTGAGCAGGAACGTGCTAAAAATCAGAGTCACAGAGAGAACACGTGACCGGCGCCAACAGTCACACATAAACGGGTGCCCAAACACAACTTTGTTCATTTGATCCGTGCATAGATGGAAACATACTGACAAGATCTGAAAACGGGATATGTGAGAGGTGAGAGAGGATGTATTTACAGGGACTTTAGGCGGGTTGAAATCCACGTTGTAGACTCTGCCGGTGGGAAGGTGAGTCCAGCGTGAAGTGAGCCTCTGTTTGATGGTCTGGAAAGGTACATTGAGGTTGATGACTGTATCCACACTGTGTGCGTCATCCAGAGCTTCGGCCTGGGGTACTGTACGAGGGAAACCTGGTCAAGAAGCAGACAGACAAAAGTTGAGTGAAGTAAGGGTAAGATAAATTGATACCACTTTACAATAAGACTACCCTTATAAAGGGTTTACAAATAGTTTGTAATTCATGAATTAGGTTGTGAACACTTTATAAATCATTAATAAGCTTTTATAAGACATGAGATAAACAGGGCAACTGTGATTGGTTGCTTGCCAAATAGTGAGCCCTTGTTATAAATGGTAGTAACTCATTAATAAATGGGAATGGGTTTTACACTTTACAAGGCTCCCTTTTGGCAGTTATACATGTTAGTAACTCGTAAATAAATGGTCATAAAGAGATGCCAAGAAACATCAAGATGGATGGGGGGAGGATCAACTCAGTGAACAACAGATACCAAGGATGCTGGCTGATGAAGAAGACAAAGGAAGCTAGGTAGCCAATATAAGGCTTAGCAGTACAGATAAATGTGGGCTCACTATTTGGCAAGATGACTAAGCCGTATATTTGCTACCTAGCCTACTTCATCTTCTTCATCAGCCAGCATCGTTGTATCTGTTGCTCACTGAGTTAATTCTCGCTAAGTAGCCAATATAAGGCTTAGTCATCTTGCCAAATAGTGAGCCTGTGTTGATGTATGAAAACTAAATGGTTCTTAATGATTAATAAAGTGTTTACAACCTAATTAATAACCTAATTATAGACCCTTTATGAATCCTTGATAAGGGTAGTCTTATTGTAAAGTGGTACCGATAAATTATACCAACATTTGATTTTAACAGTAAAGGACAAAAAAGTTAAAGAAAATCTATGATAGGAATTTAACTATGCTTTCATTATCTCACAATTCTATAACAAACAATGCTGACAATATGATATTACTAGAAATCGATTCCCAGCAGAAATAATGCTCGTACCATCGAGCAGCCAGCTGCTGTGGTCCATTGCTCTCAGGTCACGCAGGATGAGACGGGACATGACGTCATCAGGTACCAGCTGACCTTGATCAATACAGCACTTCATCAACAGACCCAGCTCTGACATACAAACAGAACAACAGAGAGAGGATGCTGTTGATTACATAACTCAGTCTTTTTCACAACAGCATTTTTTTATCTTGACTTTTCAAATGCTGCTCAAACCATGAAAAATGATCTGTACCTATTTGTCTAAAGCATCTATTGCTATTAAATTACTCCAGCAAAATAACAATATTGTGACTTAGCTGCTTCAACCCTTGATTATAATGGTCTCTTGAGTTGTTAAAAAAGTACCAACATTTGTGAAAACATGAGGTCTTCCTGAATTACAAAGAAATTCATGCACAAAACACCTATCTTATATCCATGTGATGTATCAGTGCAGTTCATTCATAGTTGTTATAGTGTGTGTTGCAAACTGTACATACAATCAAGCTGAACAAGCAAAAACATGTCTGGGTAAAGTTACTTAATGGAACATTTGACAGGAGAATCTGGGTTTAGGCGGTCAGGGCATGACCGTTTCTTTTTTTCCCTTTCACTTCCACTTTAATTGATATGAGTCCAGCTGAATAAAAAGGAACTTCCTGACAAGTCTTGAAGAAATTAGCTGAATGTGCTCACATACTGCTCTGGTGTAACCATAGTGTTAGCCATAAAGCTAAATGGTAAAAAATAGACTTTCAAATACATACAGCAATATCTAAAATATTAAACAGATATACATTATTTAGGTACTGAACGATGAATTTAAAATGGCACACTATATGTTTTGGGCATGCAAGCTGAACCCAAAACATGGTGTTACCATAGCAAATGATACATGCATGATAAGCAGTTTAGCAAGGAACATAGTCAAGTATAAGTGACAACCAAAAGAAGGATTTTGTGAGGTAAATGCATTGGTCTCTGTAAACCATATTGTTTGCAATTCTCACACCAAAATCAGCCATTTCACATGTTCAGTCTGACAAAAGTGAGTGTTTAGGAAGTTGAAGGTCACTAGTTAAGATCCAAGGACTGTTTGGGAGAGATTTGAGCTGGGAAAGTCAATGAGAAGAACTGTTTGAATGCCAGCTGCTGCAGTGAAGCTGCAAAGATGCCAACAACAAAGGGATTTAGTTCAACTGAGGAGCTTTAAAATGCCTGCTTTACCGTGAAACAACATGCATAGATGTATGTTAATGTTTGCCCTTACATTGCTGAAGGTTCATATGCCGTATAACAAAGCTCTTTGTCTGTACTGCTCGTCTAAAGGGACAAAGGTGCATCCTTATCTTTACACCCTCTTTATCTGAATCCACAGTATATATTCAAGCCCACAAACAGATAGGACATCTTACTGGTGTAGGAGTGGCTCCTTTATCACAGCAGACCAGAAACAACCCAAAGTTAGGGAATGTCTTGCTTCATGTCATGGTCTAGTTTGTGTTTAAATATACGTTTTGGGCATGAAATACATTGTGTAGGTGGTTTCAAAGAGTGAATTCTCAATAAAAAACGGTTATAAAAACAGATATAATTGTGTGTCTTTTTGTGTAACAAGTATCATTACACCACAAATAATCTAAAGATGCAGTCTCATGACTTCTTGTTTTAATTTATATATTTTAAATGATTTATAGAGAACTTTTTTAAATCCACAAAGTGCTTCATGCAGCATAGTAAGACAGACAAGTCATACATCAAAGTGTAAATATACGAACAAATGTGGTTTATAAAATCCAGAAACCTTATGTGTCTAGAAACCATTCTTACATAAATAAAGGACACATATACTGCCTTGGTGTATGTTTGAGTTAGGTCATCGCTATCTTACCGCTTTTGTTGCTGATGTTGGATCTCAAAATGTCCCCACTGGAAATGTGGCTTAGCCCAAAAGTTTTGGTAATGCGTGCAGACACGGTTCCTTTCCCCGACCCCGGAGGTCCCATAATAACAGCACGAAAAATCCTTTGGAGAACCATCTCTGCACGATATACTGAGTTTTTAGCAACAGTGTTGCCGTATCCTTCCCATGAGAAGAAAAACACTCTCTGGATGCACAGCAGGTATAACCTACTTTCGTAAAATCGTGCGCAACAGGGAGTGGGCGCGTCTTTTGCACCCAGTCTCTCACTGGACCTTGACTTGTATGTCCCCTCAGAAACACACATGCAGGAGGAGGAAGAAGATGAGGAAGAAGAGGAGCCCAGTTCAGTGGCGGCGGGGGCAGACAAGGATCCTCTCCCTTGACGAGTCGACGCACAACGAGCCAAATAAGCGCCTGTCTTCGGATAGTTGGCACATTTCCTCGTCCGTGTCACAGCTTGCGGTTCACCGGAGATGATTTTGTTCTGTATTACACGGTTATCTAATTATCTATAAAGGGGGATAAAGCTTTTTGGCCAGGTTGCGGGGAGTAATCCCTTCCGATCCTCGATCCCCCCAGCGTACAGACCTACAGATGGCAGGCAGGCACTTTTAAAACCGTTTGCAGGCATTAACGATGTAACATTCTAATACCTCGCTGAAATGACTGTTCTGAATAACATCATCAGAGTTAAGGAAACCATGTGGGGTAGCCTACATGTACACATTGTGTTAGTATATGTATTAAAATCAAGTTGCAATTCACTGTTGCTTCCTTAGATGCCAACAGGTGCCCTACTAAATAGAGATAAAAGAGACAATCCTTACAAATATTGTTGGTGATCCATTTGTTTACATGTTGATCACATTTTGTGCCTAAGCGAAACAATTGCTATCAAGCCACTCCTACGGTGTTTTAAAAGAAAGGTTATGGCACTGTCTGGTGGTCAAACTCGGCGATGCACCCACACAAGTCTTATTTCAGAGAGGCAATTAATCACCTTCTAGAATAGCTTTTATGCTGAGTTCACTCACTCACTCACTCACACAAAAACATGCAAAAGGGGATAGTTTTGAGTATAGGCCTTTTTAGAAAGTATTGCAACAGAGTTTATGAAAACTTAGACAACATTTTGCAGAATCAAATATTGTTTAATCACATTAGAGAAACCCTAGCCATGGATAGACATGTAAGGTCAAATGCAGAGGGGATGTTGGTTATTATAATGGATTATGTTCTTCCATTGATTAAATCCTTTTTTGAAAGGATGACAGTGGAGCAGCAATAATTCTGAATGAAGCCTCAAATGAAAACACAATTCTACCCCAAATCTAAAGTTGAAAGCATGAAAACACCACTATCTTTATTATTTTCGTTTTGCATAGCATGATGCCATGGCATAATGACAATCAGCAGGTTTGGACCATGGTTTGGACCCATGCTACACCATTCTGGATCAACTGGAGAATTTTAAGATAATTAGATTTAAAAATAAATAATTACAATAATCCAGGTTTAAAAAAAATAAAAATGTGTGGACTAGATTTTCTGCATCAACAAATAAGTAATGTAATACATTTAATAAGTCTTATTTTGAAATGTATTAATTCAATAAAGCCATGGTCTGCCCGCAACCACCTGTAAATTCCCTTTTTGACCCTCGTGGTTTGCCGTATATTCGCCTCCCACCAGCGTTTTCCTGTACAAACACATGTGGATTCCCACTGACTCCATCAGAAACAACAATAACATGGCCAGCCACGGGCTCGATTACGATGGTTGCAATTTCTTCAGACAGCGGCTAGTTTTATCCACACTCAGTGGAAAGCGTGTTAGAATAAAAAACATAAGGTCCAAAGACGACAACCCGGGGCTCCGCGGTGAGTTTCAGCTCCACTTTGCATGTGGCGTAGCAGTTAGCTCGGTGGCTAACATGCTAGCTGTTACGCAGTTTGGAGTGTGTTTTATAACTGGAAGTCATAAGAGGGGAGACGATAGTACAGTACTGCAAATGTGAAGTTAATATAATTGTATAAAGTTATGTCGCTGTTATGCCTTTCAAGAGTTTGAACTAGTATTTGCAAAGCAGAGTTCTGCCTTAACGTTATCATATTATTTGAGGGACTTATCTTGCTTAATGTGAGAGATCATCTTCATATAGATGCAAGAATACTTAAATCAACTTGTTTGACTCTAAATGTGTTGTTACTGTATGTAAAATAAGAAAAGAGGGCAACATTTTGTCCCATCATACCTTTTTAACAAGGTCTTAACTTGTATTAAAACATGGCGCTCAGCCACAGAAAGTCTGGTTAAAGATATACTGTATGAGTATCATTGTTGCTTTTCTTCTACAGATTTCGAGGCCAGCTTTATCAGACTGCTAGACAAAGTGACCAATGGCTCCAGAATAGAAATTAACCAGACAGGTGAGTGTTATCATTATGATGTGACTGAAGTGTTTACCTTTGTAATAATGTATTACTGTTTTCCGCCAGATGATTGTGGAGGATGTCATCATTGAATAAACACCTAAGCTATGCATAAAAGGCATCCTTGTAGAAATGATTCAATGTTTTCTGTATTTTTGTTCTCATAATTAATTTGACACCTTAGTTTTGCTATTTCTGTGTGCATTTGGTGTTAAATTGAACTGTTATGTTCAGAGGCGTATTTAACAAAAGACTGCAAAGTAGCACCCTCTACATACAGACTCACTAACTACAATTAGTCTTTCCTCACAAGGTACTGTGTTATTCTACCAGCCTGGCTTGTTGTACGGGGGCTCTGTAGAACATGAATGTAACACTCAGCGCTCGATCGGCTACTATCTGGAGGCTCTGCTCATGCTGGCTCCATTCATGAAGACCTCTCTGAAGGCCACGCTTAAAGGGGTCACCAACGACCACATTGACCCGACGGTGAGGACCCTCATGCATGCATCAGCTCATTACCAAAACGACTAACCTCAACCTATTTGTAAATTGAATTTATGGGAAGTCCACTCCTGCCAAATCCACATGGGCGTGCCCTCTATTGTACATGTAATTATATGTGAGATCAATTATGTATTTTTTTACAGACTGCATATTTTACGCCTGAGGTGGAGAGTTTGTAAAGAACACATAATAGTTAAGGAACATATTCAGGTTTTTAATCCATTTGTACATTGACTTGATTATTAAAATGTAAACAGATTGTGGTTCACATACTTTTGTAACTGTTTTCCTCCACGTTTTTAAACCATGGTCTCTGAGTTTGTTTGCACGTTTGAAGTGTTGTTATAGCAGTCCAATCTCAGCCAATGCATCATTCTTTTTCTGCCCTGAGCTGCTTTGTTTTGACATGTATATTGTCAACAAACCAGCACTGAGAAGAAGCATTGCAGACGCTAGAGAAAAGTGTTGTCATGGAAACAATTTGTTGCAGTTTTGGGAAATGGTAGATATCTTAACCCGGTGATGACGCAGAAGAATATTTTTAAATCTCAACAGATAAGAATACTTACAGAAAGATCAGCATTCTTGTTCCTAACATTAGCAACATGGCTACCTCAAGCAGATTTGCAACTGTTTCAGAATTAAGTTTATTGGCAGGTACGTTTACACATACTAGGAATTTGCTTTGGTGTCTGGTATACGCACCAGTTTATTTACAACAGCAAAGCCAAATATAATCCAGATGCCAGAGCATGGTTTCTTACCTAGTGATCTAGCTTTGTAGAAAAAAAAATGTGTATCAATATTTGATTTGCCTCCTCAACAACAGTGCAGGTTTTCTGGTGCCAGGAGTTTCCACTTTACTTCGCTGTCTTCTCCAACTTAATGGTTGTAAACCCTCTGTCTCCTGCAGGTGGATGTGCTGAAGTCCACAGCCCTCCCTCTGATGAAGCAGTTTGGCATTGATGGAGAGGGCTTTGATCTCAAGGTGAGCACACAATAGTGATCTGCTGATAAGCATGCTGTCACATTTGATTTGGGGGGGGTTTATGTTCAAATATACTACTGCTACTTGAACACAGGTCAGTCTATCCTTCGCTCTCTCACTCTCCCTCTGTTGATGCTCCCTCAGGTGGTGAAGAGGGGTATGGCGCCTGGCGGGGGAGGAGAGGTCGTTTTCATATGTCCAACCCGCAGGACGATGAGGCCGGTGCAGCTGACCGACCCGGGGAAGATCAAGAGGATCAGGGGAGTGGCGTATCCTTGTCGAGCTCACAGTCAAGGCCCTTTTTCATCTGTTAACAATATACATATGATACAAGTTGACATTCAAAAGCCATTACAGCTTAATGTGAAAGCTCCAGATGTGTACACACTAGTGCTGGGGGGAAACGATTATTTTGAAAACGATTAATCGGGCGATTATTTGATCGATTAGTCGACTAATCGAACGATTATTTTTCTGTTGTTCAATTCATAAAAAACGTAATGTAAAAAAAACGTAATGTAAAAAAAAATTTTTTCACGATACTGTGTCTCAGGGGATCTTAATATTTAAGAACCTATTAATGTGTTATACCAGATTAACGGAAATAATCTCAGCTAACTGACGATACAAACCATGTTTGCCAAAACAAAACACAAGTCTCATAAGAAGCATCTAAATGACCCCTGAGCGAAAAATGCTAACGGACATTGGCACAGAACTCAAGATAAAAGTACCCTTATTACTTATCGTAGCTGCACATACAAGATATCCGATTAAAGCTGAGACTCCACAGATTATGTAGGTACATAGTATCATCACTGAGTGATCCGGACTCGCGACAGGGGAAGCAAATACAGTCATCACAACACGTACCTTCACAGAGCTTCTAGGGAGATCGTCTCACCGCCGTAGCTGTCAATCTGATCAAAATACGTGTTCAATGGCATTCAAATGAGAAAAAACGCGGCTGAATCGGTTAATCCATAGGTTTTTAACGTCTATGTATAAAAAAATTATTGAATTTATAATCCATAATTCCATTTTAAATCGGAGAGCAAATGCTAGCTGCTAATGGTTGCCACCACAGCTAGCTGCTGCTTCCGGTCAAGCAGCAGTCTCAGTGAGATATAAATATATAAATATCTTTGCGTTTTGGACTAACTTTAAAATATTCCCATGCTTTTGAAGACCTGGGGCGAGATGTTTTCGTTTGAGGGCTTCGTGCGCAATCCTGTGAGGAGGAGTTGGTAGCCGTTTCAGTCTCCATTGTGTTAGAAGTGCGATTGCGAACTGCTTGTTGCTTTGGGTGACCCACGTGTGTGTGGCGTCATACAGTCTATGGTGTCGACGCGGAAATATGTCGTCGACGATATTTTGAAGTCGACGCGTCGCTACAGCACTAGTACACACATAAATCCAGCATATCCTCACATTGGAGAAGCACGAACAAGATAATTTTCTTCATATTTGCATGAAAAATAAAAAATGAGTCAATTTGTAAATAGTTGTTGAATAAGTCTCTTGATTTATTTACTAATCACTCCATCTGTTCACAAATGCCAGTGAGCTTTACTTTGTTTTTTCTCAAGTTCGTGCTCCTTCCAGTTTAAGCTTGCACTTTTTCAATTGAATAAAATGTGTGTTCTGATGATCTGAAAGGTCCTTGACAGTCTAAACCCAGATATTCAGTGAGAGTTTCTCCTCAGATGGCCAACAGGTTAGTGGACACAGCCAGGGGCGTCCTAAACAAGTTCATTCCTGACATCTACATCTACACCGACCACATGAAGGGAGCCAACTCTGGAAAGTGAGTATCTCGGCCTAAATGGAATTACAGGGAAATCAAATGTTTGTTAAACAATCCTGCTCACCGTTTTATCACCTGTACTTACAGCTTTAGTCAAAGAAACGCATAGTCATTCATTTTGGTGAATTGCAGATCTCCAGGTTTTGGTCTGACCCTGGTGGCAGAGACGATGAACGGCTCCTTCCTCAGCGCTGAGATGTCGTCCACGCCGCAGGGGCAGGGAGACCCCATGCTTCCAGAGGACCTCGGCAAGAACTGTGCCCAGATGCTTTTGGAGGAGGTGTATCGGGTAAGTTCCTCAAAAACCCTAAAAAGATGTATTATATTCCGGCCTCACTCCACACACTTGTTTCAGTAAGGTTCTTTTTGGGGTTATTGGAAACACAGAAAATATAGAGATTTAAGTTGTCTGAGCCTAGAATGTGATTTATTTTTGTCTCTTGGCATGAATTTTGAATCATCCCTCTTTGGCAATTTACAGGCTGCTCTGAACAGGGAATCAAATATGTATTTAATTGTGAACAGGTGTAGAAACTCAAGCAGACGTTCACAGGAATTTGTCCAGTGTTTTCAGGCCTTGCCTAACCGGGACCTTGGCCCATAATGGCAGCACTTGATCCAATGCGTGAAGGCTGGATATTGGTTTGCTACATTATTGTGCACAGTGTTTTTCAGTTGCTCTAAAAGCAGCTGCCCTTCAAAATACCAAGCCTGTGCTGTTTATTTGAATAGTTCCAGCAGACCGTGATGGTTACCTGCCATAGTGTAGTCACTTTTATGCTGAAAATACATTTGCAAAAAGTTATCCGTCACTTCCTGTAATGTTTTTTCACTATGAAGTGTATATAGTATTATAATACTTTGCTTATGTTTAACTCACTCAAAGTGTATTTTATTTTTTTGCATCTTTCTTATCACTGGAAAATGCTATTAAGTCGGAATGTTCACACACAGCAGCTGGAAAATCTATTGTTACCTTGTCTCAAGAGATTTTGAAATTCTTGGGGAATATCTGAAATACAAGGTCAGGACACACTATTAGTTATTAGAGTCCAAGCATGCGCTTCCAACACTATCTTCTCTTGTTTACCCACATTCTCCAGTAATGACCCCAGTCGGGCATTCTGAGAAACTGCTTGTGGGAAGAACCACAATGAAGAAGGAAAGTATAATATAACAAAAGCGTATTTTCATTGAAATCAAATCAGAATATTTCTAAATTCCATTCCTATGGATGTAACGGCCTGTGTAAACGTAATGCATGTAAGTCAGTGTGTTGGTAGAACTGAACTGTGCCTTAAAAGAAGTATGTTCCCCTGACTGGTCGAGTCTCATTGGTTTTTTCCTATGACACTTTTGTCTAAGACATATATACTACATACTTATTACTTTTTAAGATTGTTTTTACTTATCCATCAGAGGCTGGCTCGCATTTGGCGACAACTCATATATTGCATTTTCGATATGAAATTAAAAGCTACATGACCTTGTTGAAGAAAATGCCATGATGAATAAAATAAATACCTGGATTTAAAACCGTTATTATTTATGATGAAGAGAAAACCGCTATCTTACTCAAGTCACAAATATGTTTGTGCAGAGGTCAAAGGTCAGGGTTTAACCTGGTTATGTGACGTGTCAAATGAATAATGTGTGATCCTATCGTCATTCATTTCTCGATGGATAAGGATTTCTTGATCAGTAATTTGTTAATATGCTTGAGGCTTCAGAAAATTAACCCATAAGTCACATTTATTATATCCATATCTTTCTATGCTGTAGTGTGACGTGTAGTAATGGCTGTATAAAGAAAGAAAGAATGTCACATAGTCAGGAAAAAGAGCCCACTTTCATCAGAGTATGTATAATTAGATCAAGTGTTTGTGTGACTTCACTTTGCCTCCACAAGGCTCTGCTTCTCTCAGAGGAGCCATGTGAGGCCAGTTAGCTGGTCAGGGTAGGGCTGATTTAAGGAATAGTGTTGGATGCATCCTCTTGAATCCAAGCCACAGAGTTTTTCTTTAGCAGCCTCAGAGGGCGGTGGACGAAAGAAACTCTTAAGAAAACTATTTTAAAACGCTTCTTTCCTTTTTTGATAAGCAGAAGCTGGACAGCATTTGATGAACTGGTTCTAATACCTAACTGTAGCGGGGCGTCAGAACATTTTCTACAGCGGAGAATAGAAATGATAACACCAGAGTAAAATGAATGTCAGACATTTGTGCTGGAATAGTTCATTTTTGAAAACTGAGAAAGAAATAAGCTGGATTCACATTAAATGGCATGGAAGCTCTCTATCATGTGCGTCTGTTTGTCTAATGGTTAATCAGTACAGTTTCTTGTAGTAACCCAAAGCCACACGATGGACATTTTGTTTTTGGAAGCAACATCAACACTGGACAGGAGCTGATGTAAGTGTTTCCAATAACATTTCAGGTTTTTTTTTCTTCTACTTAATTAAGAATGGTTCTGAATTTTGTTTCTATTTCACCCTTTTGACACATTTTTACAAGTTTAGGTCAAGTCATATCTTGGAATTTGGCTATTGATTTGCCATTTTATTGACTAGCTTAAGTTTGTCTGCGACCACTTTTTTTTGTTTGCTTGTTTGAAAGGGGGATACCATTCAGTGGAAGGATTTAAGGGACTTTTCCATCAGATCTTGTCTGTTGGTGGCCTCTTGGGAGATATTAACTGTCTGTAGAGGCAGGGCCTGAAACTAGCTACAAATGATAGTAATGTGTTGCACTTCTTCTTTTGAACTGATAGGAGGCAACCCACAAAGGTAAGGTCCTACGGGCACAACATGTCTTTAAATACTCAATTATAGGTACTCTCAGTGGTTGGATAAAGCTGTAAAATAGCAAATCAACCTTAAACCTTGAGATCCTTTATTGCGCCTAATGATCATCTTTGAGTTTTTACTGGAGGCAAATTCATTGTGATTGGTAGAATTTCTCGGAAATACTAATATGAAAATTCTCTCTTGTATCCAGACAGTATGAAGTATTTGCTTATTTGATTAAAAGTAACGGCTATTTCGTGTTTAATATGCATGAATAAATGTGCATTATACAGTTAAATTCATAACAGAATGCTAGTCTGAAGGCTTGTCAATGGAGTATAATGGTGAACTGCAATGGAAGTGTTGCATATTGGAAGTCATGAAGTATTTGTTTTCACAGAATACCTAGTTCCATCAATCACTCATAGTAGGAATGCAGTTGGCAAAACGTCTGCCTCATTGGCAAAAAAAACAATGTCTCCATAGTTTTGCCGTGGCTTCAGTTATATGATTATGTAATTGAATCATATTCCTGCTGTCACGATGCAATAATACTGCGTGACTTGGGATCATGCTCACATGGATAGAATAGATGTGCTATTGAGGAAACTCATTTTTCACTTTACTGACAGATCCACAGAATAGATGGCCATTTTAATGTTGGTTTCTTTTTCTTTTTTAAATGCTAAATTGGGGTGTTTCCAGAGTTGCATAGGCCCTTCATACAGGCTGGTGGAAAGCACGTAGCTGTTGTCGAGTTGTCACTATGGCATGTGATCACTTGGATACAGAGAGTGGATCGTCTGTCCTCTAAATATGCCATATGTCGAAGAAAAAGGTGGGAGGGCAGGAAAACCCATCATTTAGTGAAAAACAAGACAAACATGTTGTGTTCTCTGACTCATAATGTATGTTCTTGTAGGGCTGCTCAATTAATCGTATTTTAATCGCGATTATGGCTTGCAACGATTACGAAAACAACGTAATCGAAATAAAACGATTATTTTTTTATTATTACTTTTTTATTTATATTTATTTTTGGATTTTCAGTTGAATTATACTTAAAGTTCAGGGTAATCAACTGTTAAAAACATATTGTTCAAAAAAATGTTCTCCAATAAATGGATGTTTTCAAAGTAAATGGATAATCGTTTTTAATAATCGTGACATCAATTATTGACCCAAATAATCGAGATTATGATTTTTGCCATAATCGAGCAGCCCTATTTTCTTGTAAGTTTAAAGTAACTATATGCGTTTCCAGAGCTGACAAAAACATACAACCACTATTGGATGCTCACTATGTTTTGCAAATATTGTTGGGTAATGAACCTGAGATAATCAATATCCTGTCAAGGGGTTACCGAGTTCTTTCAAACATCTCCACCTCCATGACGTGTTTCAAAGTTGTTTTTGTTGCTGAACGCATCGCCCCTCCTCTTTCTCTGTATTAGGGTGGCTGTGTGGACTCCTCCAATCAAAGCCTGGCGCTGCTCCTGATGACCCTTGGCCAACAGGACGTGTCGAAGGTTCTGCTCGGACCCCTCTCCCCACACACGTAAGCCACCGTCACTCAAGCTTCCTGCCATAGCTTGTTTATAAGTCACCACAAAGAAGCACTTTGGTATTCTTCTACTTATCCCATCTTTTGCAAGTGCAGATATTCCAAAGTTATCGTCCAACTGTCGAGCATAATAAAAACAATCATCCGTGTGTTAAACATTAGCCTTGTGGTTTGTGTTTTAAACATTTTAAACTAGTTTTTAACTCAATTGAAGGCCCATGCAACCAAAAGTGTTTTTCTGGCTTCAAACGCAAGTTCAGCCTGCAGTTTACAGTAAACAAGTTCAAGTGAACTGCTTTTTATGTATTTTGTTACATTGAAAAAAGGTTTATTTATTTTTATTTCAACTAGCAGAAAATCCCCAAGTGAAATTCAGCTGACGATGAATCACAGGTTAAATGTCCTCAAATTTCTCACATGCTTTTGAAGGAATGCATTATCATGGGACCTGTCCAGCTGTGCTTTAACATGGTCCGTGTGTTTCTAGAGTGTGCCTTGTGTATGTGTGATAAACTGATATATTAACAGTTTAGGTTTCATATTAACTTGAATATTTTCTGGTAGGCAAACCGCTTTAAATCTTTAATAATATATTAGAATGAATATAAGGATAATAATGTCATGTTGATTTCAGACAACATCATCGTGAATGAGGAATGAACTATGAACTGTCCATTTTCAGTTATCATGGTACCGGTGCTGTGTCCCTCTTAAGTACAGTACTATGATAACTGAAGATTGGCAGTGCCATCACAATGCATTCCTCTTCTTACTCAGGTAACGCTCATTTCTTTTTTTCTGAAGACCAATGGAATCCAGCTTAAACATTTGCATACTGTTAATCGGCTTTGTCTTTATACATATTGAACACCCTAGTTTTGAGAGATAAAAGATACTACTAATGACCTTAGTCTACATTGAGTACTCCTGGGACACTGTGTTCTTAAACTCCCAGGGTGTATGGTTTATTGATAGCTGGACAATATTTCATTTCAAGGAGCAACGCCTCCCTTACAAATTAAACTTATTTCCTCTCTCCCTCACTGTCTCTCCAGGATCGAGTTCCTCAGACACATTAGAGATTTCTTCCAGATCATGTTCAAGATCCAGGTTCAGAAGCCTTCAGAAGACGAAAGGAAAGGAGGGGACAAGGTCCTGATGACCTGTGTAGGAGTCGGTTACAGCAACATTAACAAAACCCTCAAATAAAATCTGTTTTTTTTATATATAAACGAAATGGTGTTGTCTTTGCTCACTCACATCAAATAGTAGAATACAAACATTTTATTTTCTTGGATGAGAAATGTATGACATTAGTTATTATTGTTCCAACTTATAGGTTAACTTTCAGTTACAATATGCAAGAACAACTGTTTGGTAAGACATGTTGATTATGTTTTATACATGTAATACAAACTATTATATATATATATATATTATAAGACGTTCATCAGCATCTTCTTGTCCGTACTTCTTCTTAAGCCAGTCTGCACGCCACTGTCTGGTTGAACATTACTGGAATTCCACATGTAAAAGCATTTCTAGATGTTTAGTTCCAGAAAGAAAATGTGCGATGCTTTTGGAAGGGTCAGGGACTGGTCATTAGCTGCGGTTCTTCCCCTCTGCACCACATGTTTCTCATCACGGATGTCTGGAGGAGTCACTCATCTTGGCCACAGAGATGCTTGAGGGCGTCACCATAGCTGCCTGACACTTCAGACTACACAAACATGAGAGGGAGAACAGGAAGCGGGGTTTTAGGGGAACGTCATATCTCTACATCTCAAAATAAGCACTTGAAACTGTTGAAATGTTTACTTAAATGGTATTGATAATTCAGTTTAATCTCTCGGTGTGCGCACAGACCTCTAGCTGGGAGTAGAGGGTGAATCCAAACACCTTCTTATACTGTGCTCTGATGTCCATCAGGTCCACCTCAGAGCGGCTCACTATAATCCTGGTCAGAGTGGACTCGGTGGTCCCCGCTCCCTAGACAAAAGAACAATTGGGAAATAAGCAGTGGTGCACATTTAGTCAAAGCTGCAGCTATAAAACAGTGGCTAAGCATTCCTTTCCACACCACTGGTGACAAACACTCATGTCTGCTGTGGCTAAAAGTGAAAGGGTGTAACCAAACAAATCCTTTTGTTTTGGGAGCCACTGGCTCTGGTGTTTCAAAAGGTGCTTAAGTTATAGATAGACATATTGAATCACTTACCTTCATGCTCTTGAAAAGGGTCTCAGCCATGTATAAAGGAACGGTTTTCACACACTTCACTAAACAAAAACCATATGTTAATACATGTTTTCTAATAAATATTATGTTAATTGTAAGATGTGAGGATCAGAAATAGGCAGACAACATGGCACATTTTTCTCACCAACAGCAACAAGTAGCGCCTCGATGTTTCCAGACATCTCGCTCTCAATGCTCTCCTGCAGAGTCTTCTTGCTAATATTCTTGTACTCTACCAGAGCTGTTAGAAGACATCAGCGATTTGGTCAGGTGGCAAAGTAAAAATGACATCAATAGTTGTTTAGCCATGCTAGCGGCATTGTGGCATGATGTTGCATTTAATGTCTCTACCTTTTCGATTGCCATGCAATTGTTTTGTTCCTCACGGAATATATTCTGGATTGATTTCCAGGGAAATTTGGTGCATACATTCTATATCATAAAGTTTGTATTTGTGAAGTTAAACTAATGGCATTACCATCATCCACATTATTAGTATTACTTTGCATACTGATTAACAAATGCTAAAGCAAAGATGGTGATGTTAAAAATGGTGGAGGTAAACATCAGCACGTTAACATGATGTTAACAGACACTGTTGTACAACCTCACAGAGGCGCCAGTGGGCTACATACTGGTAGTCTTGTATTTTATTAGCATACAGATAAAAACATGTGGGTTGAACCTACTCTGTCGCAGCTGGGGAACACTCCTGTGGCACAGGATGTCGATAAACTTATCTTCATCAGTTCCCCACTTCTTCTCCCCTGCTTCATACAGGGCCTGCAAAGAATGAGAGGGAATGTGAAAATAATGTTGACTTCAAACACAAATGTGTAAGGTCAGGCTTAAAATCTCAAACAATAATTAATTAAATATTCCCCCAGATATGACTGAATCAACTGCTCTGTAGTGGTTTTATTGTTCACAACCTACCATCCTGTATTAGTATACTAAATGTACTTGAGAAACTAGTGGATACGAGGCAATGAATATACCTTAGCATCTGCTTTAGCTTTAGCAGCGTCCACATTGGTGCTCTCCTCTCTCTTCCCCTGTTAAGAAAAAAAAAGAAGAATACATTTTGTCTTAAATAGACTGAATCCAATGTTTTTGGAATTTTCTTTTCAAATGATGATGCCATTTTTATTATACTTGTCACACTGGTATTGAAGATTACAAGCTTTCCAAAGATTAACAGGTATGTAGAACATAGTTAGCCATTTTACAATTCAGGCCTAAAGACAGACTTAGAGACATTTATTCTCAACGTGTCTAGCTAAAATTACTTTTGATGATTTCTTTAGAATATAATCAAATGTTTGTCTCAAGTTGACATACAGTACCTCAGCCAAGATGAGTAGTGCCTTGCCGTACTCTCCAGATACCTCCGACTTCAGATCATGAATCAGCGCTTTTCCAGTTTCTTGAATAAAACAGCACAAAAGGAGAATTTCACAACTGTGAAGACACATTGCTTAATGAGTATTTGCCAACAAGTGACTATCTAACTGATGCAATTATGAATACTTTGTCTTTAGGATACCAACCTGCGAGGTATGCTTCAGACAAGGCCTTGATCTGTTTGTTGGATCTCGAAGCGAATATTTCTGTCAGCGTACACTCAGTTGTCCCTGCTCCCTGTGTGCAATACAACCAAAATGTATGGCCGTTACAATTTATTTTATGAAGAAGGGCATTTAAAGTTAACCCGACCAAATCTCACCTTGATGGCTTTGATGACTTCCTGGCAGTCGTAGACAGCGGTTGGCGTTACCAAAGCAACCAACAAGTCCTCAAAGTCTCCATGGGTGTCGCCCTCCAGATCATCTACCAGTTTCTGATGGAGGAATGTTAATAAAACAGATTTTGGTTAACTGTACGACATTATTTTTGAAATAATATTGAGTTTATAGAAGTACATTATACCCTTCCGTTTTGCTTCTCATAGGCCTTAGCGATGAGCTGACGCTGAGCATTACTTCTTTGGGTCAACACCTCAATAAGTGTCTTTTCTGTCGTACCTGTAGAGAAGAGACATCACAAATCAGTCTTACAACAAGGTCTTAAACTTCATACAATCACTTGTTCCACAAACAGACAGGTGTGGGAACAATTTGATACCAGCATAGTATTGCGAAATTCTGTGTGATAACATTGTATCGATACACGGATGCCAAATAGATCGTAAAAAAAATCATTAAAAAAATTAATCATTCATATTTATTACGTTTCTTGATAATATTGTATGTTGTAGCATCCAGTGATTCCAAACCCTAACTAACACACACATGTACACATTACACAGAGTAAATAATGATTAAACAGCTTTATATGTTGGTCTTGTATATTAGATACTGGTGAATTAACGTACCAATGCCCTCTATAGCCTTCTTTAGTGCAGACACATCTTCATCCACTTTGAAATTAGGCTTATCCTTCACAGTTCCTCTGACATTGGACTGAGGAGCACAGAAACACATATAAACCTCCAAGTATTTGTTTATACAACATGCTAAATTGTTTGCAGTTTATTATTTGTACGTTCTAAGCTTTCAATTAGTATTTGCCACCATCTATTAAAGCCACCTATACAATAACTATCATTAAGGCACTAAAAATGTTGAGTATGTTCAATTTACTGTCACAGTCAGTGAGGAGGGGGAATCCAACAGCATTTCCAATTCTTCCTAAAAAACAAGTCAACATAGATGATTACAGTTTCACCTTTATGACATGTATTTGAAGCCTATATTCCAATTTCAATGCCTGAATACTCACCCAACCAGACATTGTTGAAGTTGAAGATGAACGTATTATACTAAAAGGAAGGGGAAAAGCATATGTATCAGCATCTCCACAAGGGTATTGTGATGATTGTATACAGCTTTAGACTCCTTTTTCTGTTTAGTATTGCAAATGTTTCCTCATCCTCTGTCCTTCACAGCCTTCGCATTTATAGGCATCCACTTCTTGATTATGACATTTTGAAGTTTAGTTAGCCAAAATAATCGAGGACACATGTTCGTTACAAGAACTGCAGACAGTTAAAGCCTTAAACGTTTTAATGTCGGACTCTGCAGTCTAAAAAACAACCCTTCCGATGGAAAAAGAGTTCAAATACGGAACACAGACAGATACAACGACGAAGATACTGCGATCAAAAGTCAGAAGCGTTACTTGTTATCTTACCTTTAGTGAGAGGACTGGATTGATGTCAGAGGGGGAATCTCACAAAAGGACAAAATCGCCACACCTTTCAGGGAAGTTGGAAAGGCAACGCCCATTTTAAACTGGAGGAAGTTGAATCATGATGTTTTTCACAACTCCTCCTCACTTTTACACACTGTGGTTTGTGTAATACAGAATGCGGGATGTAAGCAGGATGTTAGCGTTTCTCTGTAACTTAACTCTTGCTCAACAATCTAGACACTTCACTAAAATAAACTGTATCCTCTGATCAGTATTGAACAGAAGCCGTTTGATTTCAGGAGTGACCCAACACGCACTGTTGACAGTTCCAAAGTCATGTTTGCTCAAGGCAGGGATGAGGACATGAGTCAGAAGGAGGAAGGAAATTAAGAAATAGAAATAAACGTTTACAATCGACCTTATCTCTTAATGTCATATAACTGCAGAAGGTATGGTAGAGCATAACTTGATCACTGTTTAACTTATATTGTATCAGTAGATTATATTTAGTTTTCTATAATATCTTGTATTATCTCTACCAACATGTTTACTCTTATATTATTTTGTTTGTCTTGCATTGTTAAAGTTAATCATGTTTAATTACCAATACAAACTTGATTAATATATGATTTACGTGTGTTATTGTAAATCTTATACTAATAACTAATATCGTTTTTTTATTTTATTATTTCAATCAGTGTTTTATAATATTAATTGTGCGCCTTTGGCACATATATATCATGCGCGTAAAGCCAAATACATTTACTATTTATTTTACTTGTGCACAATAATCACCTCATTAATGGCTCTTTTAGTCTCAGCAAACGTATAAACACACGCTCCTGCGTACTACACAATGTGGCAGGCAGAGTCAAATTATTATCACTGATCAGAAACATATAAATGCATATAATGCAGGTGAGGTATGGAAGTGACAAACTGAGGTGAGGGGCAACTGCGACATCTTGTGGCAAACTATAGAGTAAGATGTAGGGGGCGCTCTTGTGCAATTGTGCCACGACCATAGACTGTATATATAAAGGCCACGACCCATTTTCGCCATGCCTGGATTTGTGCAAAGTTTAATACAGCTTGAAAGCAGCTTATTATGGCCGTCTTTAGGCAATTCATTGTAGGATAAATAAAGTATTAGATTTCAATAGGACCATGATTGGACCCTAAAAATATACTACCGATTAGTAAATTACTGGTGGTTTACTCACAAATCTGTCCTGTTGTATTTTGGTAATGGTGCCCTCAGTACAACCTGCAAGGGGACTTTCTTTCCTGTCTGGACCATGGATGTATAAATACGATGTCCTTTAAAATGTCAGGCTGAAACCATTCACCTCAAACTAATCTAAAGCGTCTATAATCATGTTTATATAACTACTTTACGAGGGGCATCAGCTGAAAGCTAGACTTCGTAAACAGCAAAAGCATACGTGGTAGTGAAGCTTGCCTGAGATTCTAAACTCAGGGCACAGTTACCCCCAGCTGACAGACCCGCAGCCGGGGGGCAGCCAACAGCCTGCCGTCCTTTGACAGCTCGGTACCCGAAGTCAGGTTCCTATACGGACGACGTGTCAACGACCATTTAACTCTATGACAGTCAGTTTGCAATGCAAGTGAGCCATTTGACTTTAGAAAAGGCTCATGTTTAGCCATCTTTATTTATTTAGCTTTTATGCTTGTTAGATTACTAGCTAGCTCTGTTAACGGTGAACTAGTTAGCAACTAGGTCGCTGGCTAGCAACAGGGATCCTCCCAGCATTGTGATGGATAGCAGGCGTTAGCTACACACTCTCACTATCAATTTGGTAAATATGTTCCTAATTTGAAATGTTTACATTTCTTGATTTAACAAAAAGTTTCCCGCCAGCCCTGTTTGGACTAACAAGCCAGTGTTTTGTGAACGGTTATGTTTTCTTGTCCTTAAGGCTGAGCTGTAGCTAGCTGCCTCCATTGTTTACATGGAAACGGTCAGTTGAAGTGCACTGAGGGCATGTGGTGATCGTTACAATACTGGATCAACTACAGAAAAAAACAACGGGGACATATGGAAATGGGGCTGGGAGGTAGCTAACGTCAGCCAGACGTTAGCCAGATCTCTACAGCCTACTCTCTACCTGAATGAGGATGATCGGGGCTTTGAAGGAGGACTGCTGGACTGTTTGACTTTGTGTGGGCGGTGGACAAAGGACAGCAGTTTGTTTGTCCATATTGAAGCTGAACCTGGAACACGATTACACGAGGTTTACAGGCAATAAACTCTGCTGGGATGTTGCTAAAAACTCTACTGATCACCAGTCTTCTTGGCTGGGTGAAATGTCAAGACAGCCAGATCATGACACTAGAGGAGAAGACTGTCATCAGGTGAGGACATACAGACATGTATAACCCTGTTTAGATCTGTCTGTGAGTGAGTGGCTTTGAAAGTCTCTTCCATATTGTGAACAATTTGTGTTCGTGTCATTTTCATTCCATGATTTTGTCCCTATTTCTTTTTGCAGGGACCAGATTGTCGAAATGTTTGATCACGCTTATGGGAGTTACATGGTAAGAATTGGATCGAATCATTGTATTACTGTTAAAGGGAAGTTATAAAAAGCTTGAATAAAGAAAACATTTATAGAAAAGCACTACTTTATTGTGTGAGAGTAACATGCGTCGGGGTTCGATTAAGGTCATTCAGTTTAGGAAAGCTTGAATCAGGGGCTGACAACGCAGTTGGATCGGATTTTGTGAGATTGTGAAGAAAGCCAACATGCAGGATTATGTTGCAGCTGCAGTGTCAGAACATTCTGATTCAGTTTTGTGTCAGGGATTACACAGTTGTCTTCCTCGGGTCCTAGTCAGGATTTTCCCTACAGAAAGAAAGCAATGACAGCCAGAGATGATTGGGTCAGGGTTGGCTGGACCCATCAAGTGGTTCAAAGTTCAGGCAGAATAAGATATAGAGAATATGCTCCCTATAGGCTGCATGTTGACCCTCAATCTCAATGATTGGAAAGCTCAATTCAGTAGCCAGTCAAATTTAGGGCAAACGATGAGTAAAAAAAAAACCTGACTTTAACAAAAAAAATTGATATTAAGCAACCAGTCATGCCAACATTAATTACACTGTAATCTGAGTTTTTCAATTATAACTGTATTGTAATATATATTTTTAACTGTACTATGTATTATTTTATTGACCTGTACTTAAATCATGTTTTACAATTGTTTGTGTGATAAAGATTATGCAATGTTTTTAGTGTTTGTTGATTGTTATGTACCTACCTAAGGACAGCTGATGGAAATGAGCTATTAGATCATATCTGGCATAATTCTTCTCTTTTCTGAGATTATTGTATTTGTATGCATGTTCCTTGTTGAAGTAAATACATAATAACTGGAACTCCCTCCCCAAATACCTCCGTGAGTCTGAGTCCCTCACCCTGTTCCAGTCCCGCCTCAAACCCCACCTCTTCAACTCTGTATCCATAAGCCCCCCCCCCCCCCTCTCAATCAACTTCCTCCTGACTGCTTTTCTACCCTCCCTCCCAAATGTAACGCGTTTTTGGGTTCAAGAAAAGCGCTATAGAAATAAAAGATATTATTATTATAATAATGTATCAATAGTGACCAAGCTGTTGTGTTTAGCTTCAAGTTGCCAGGGGCTTTTCCCTCTTAAAGAATTTGCAACACTCCAGCCATCTTTTCCTAATGACACCTTACTGTTGGCTGCTTGATGAAGTTGAAGGCAGTTTTTGTTGTTTGTGTTGCAGAAAAATGCTTATCCAGCAGACGAGTTGATGCCTTTGAGCTGCCGGGGGAGAGTCCGGGGCCAGGAGCCCAACAGAGGGGATATAGACGACTCTTTGGGGAAGTAAGTTGGGTTACATTTCCTCAAGCTAACAAGCCATGTTCTTTTTAATCAATCAGTTTTAGGACAAATCTATCCACTAAAGTGTATTATGTACTCGAACTGTCTGGAATGCCATATCTCTTTAGAGCTTTCTTCATAGAGATGTGCCGAAGTTGCTTTTTAATCTCCTTGCTGATTGTAAAACTACCCAAATATTTGTGCTTGTTTCAAGTTAATATATATCTGTCCAGCCCTTTGCCTTCTTTCAAGATTCACCACTGAGAATGTTAAAGAAAGCGATAGATTCTAAAAAGAAAAATACGCCTCGCGAGTTTCAGCAATTTTGAATCCACATTCCTATTTTAATTGTAGGACATCCAAATGTAAAGATTTGATCAAAGTCAAGTGGAGATGTTTGTGTTTCCCGTTACTTTCCAAGGTATACGATAACAAAAAACATGAAATTGATCTGTTGCTCTGCATTCTGTAATATTATTATTTATACATTAAAAAGAACATATTATTTAAACAAATAATTGATGCAGGTTATTTATTTGGTGATAAATTAGGATATGAAGTCCAAAATAAGTTAGCATGGGAGCAAATGGGTAAATGGAATATAGATTCCACACAAAATGTGACATTTATGTAATTTCTTCTCATCCTAAAACAGTATTTAACTTTTTCAAAGAAGAAAATGACTAATTTAATTTAGTAATACCATGCTGTTTCAGACAGACTTAATTCAACTTGGACTATATGCCCCAGTTTCTCAGGAACGCATGAATAAGATGCTAATTTCAGTCAAATACATTTACAGGATGGCAATAAGTCATGGACTTGCAGTGGAATACTTCCATTCATGCTCAAGCCAAGCTGCATAATATAATTTCACAGCTTATTCAACATGTTTTGCATTTATTAGTTAAAATTAGGCTAATTTAGTGGCAAAGTGGGACACCAGCTCCCCCGTGCTGACTCCCATCACAACATGTCTTCCTTCTTTTCCGCAGGTTTTCTCTCACACTGATAGACACCCTGGATACCCTGGTGGTGAGTACTCCCTCTTGCTAAAAACATCAAAGTCGTTGGATTTCATTGCGTTTTGGAGTCTTATTTCTCGCCATGCTTTTGTTTTCAGGCTTTTTTTTCTTCCTTATCTTGACATGAGTTGCATCTGTTCCTGTCTGTGTGTGAGCAGGTGTTAAACAAGCTGGATGAGTTTGAGGATGCAGTGAGGAAGGTTGTGACGGATGTGCGGCTGGACAACGATGTGGTGGTGTCTGTGTTTGAGACCAACATCAGAGTTTTAGGGTATGAAACATGTCTTTTTAACTGTCTACATCCACTTCTTAGATTAGTCTTTACAACATCTGAGTGAAGCAGAATGTTTTGGATAATTATTCCTGATGTATAATTACATCCCATATCACTATTACTGGTCCGAAATGTTGTGCTGTATATCATATTTCAACCTATTCACCCCAAACTCTTCAATGCAATTTTAAAAGGAAACCTTCATTTCCTTGTTTCATGTAATTCTCCCCAGAGGGCTTTTGGGAGGCCACGTGATGGCCGACCTCCTACAGCAGCGCGGGGAGAGGATGCAGTGGTACCGCGATGAGCTTCTACACATGGCCAAAGATCTGGGCCATCGATTACTGCCTGCCTTTAACACCACAAGTGGCCTACCTTACCCTAAGGTATTTCTAATGATACTGTTAAATATCACAAGTCTTGTTCTAGATGTAGTTCATTGCAATCAGTGCACCACAGATTAACTGATTTGCATAATGGTTTATTATTAAACTTAAATTATTTAGTTGGTAGCTGTTTTTTTTTCAAGAGCTTCGAGTCAACAAAAGTGTTCTACTAAAAGTGACGAGATTAATGTTTTATCTTCTGGTTTTCCAGGTGAATCTGCGGTATGGAGTCCTGAACCCCCTTTCACGCACAGGCACAGAATCGGACACCTGCACAGCGTGTGCTGGAACAATGATCCTGGAGTTTGCTGCTCTCAGCAGGCTGTCAGGGGAGTCTGTGTTTGAGGTATTATCTCACTCTGCCTCTATAGAGATGTTTTGTATTATTGTGTAACACGCCCTTTTTGTTGAAATAACTGAGACAAAAGAATAAAGTATATTCGTTGAGGATGGATTAAAATATGAATGATTGAACTGTTTTTACCATACGCATTTTAAACATGTGGTGCTTCTTATTGTTTCACAGGAACATGCGAGGAAGGCTCTGGATGTCCTCTGGCAGAGGAGACAGAAGGGAAGTGACCTAGTGGGGACTGTTATCAATATCCACAATGAAGAATGGGTCCGGAGGGGTGAGGCAATCATTTCCTTTAGACAAGAAATGAAAACTAGAACTTTAACTACTTTTACATCCACAAAATATTTTGGATTTTGCCCTAATTTCAAAACATCACAATTCCTACTTTCTTTTTGTTTACATGGCTAATGAAGAGGAATATTTCACTTATATTCAGGGTTACATACAGCTGGTAGTAAACATAGCATGTCTCTTTATTCTCATTTTGAAAAGGTTAGCGTTGTGATACATGCCTAAAAACCTGTTGATATCCAAGCCTTTTCTAATGTTTGAAGTCAATGTGTCAAACCAGAAATGTGCATATTAACAAAGTTAGTGATGAATAAAAACATAAACCTATTCCACTGCTCTTTAAGTGAACCATAATCATTTATCTTGTGTGTTTGCAGAAAGCGGAGTCGGTGCTGGTATCGACTCGTACTATGAATATCTGATGAAGGCCTACATTCTTCTGGGAGACAATGTCTTCCTGGAGAGGTTTAACATTGTAAGTCCTCCATCACTGTACACCCACATAGAAATCTATACCCAGGCCTTTAGCGCCTGCTGTATTGTATTCCCTGCTGACACATAATTGGCCATTTTGTTGGTGCTAATATATGTTTCATGATGTTTGTCTGTAACAGCACTACAGTGCCATTATGAAGTACATCAGTCAGCCCCCCCTGCTGCTCAACGTCCACATGCACAACCCCACTGTGAGCGTGCGCAGCTGGATGGACTCTCTCCTGGCTTTCTTCCCCGGCTTACAGGTCAGAGATCCTCCATTAATCACATTTACCACCATTGAATCACAGAAGGGGTCCGTAGAACTGCACACGTGTCTCTGGAGTGACATTCATTTTTCACACAGGTTTTGAGAGGGGATCTGAAACCAGCTATTGAGACTCATGAAATGCTTTACCAAGTGACCAAACAACACAAGTTCCTTCCAGAGGTAAAGGATCTCTGCGCTTTTTGCTTAATTAACGGCATATAGTAGGTATACTATAAAGGTAACTATGTATTAAACTGAACACAACAAGAGCTAAGAACAGTAACCAGATGGGAATGTCTGCTATTGGCTTTCTATTGAGTTGAATCGGACAATTTAAGGTACTTAAACATGATATGACATGACATATATTGCCTTTAAACATTCCTTCTCATTTCAACACTGCCTGCAATTACCTAATGTAAGTATAGATATGAAAAAACCTTACATTTTTAATATAAAAAAAACTCGACTTCTAAAAATGTATATCATATCACACATTTTTAGCACTCTAAGATATAGTTTATATGTCATCATGATATAACAACAGATGAAAAAATATCGAATGGAAATGTATTGTAGCTTATCTTCTTTGTCCTATTGTATGAAATCTGTACTTTCTTAGAAGAAGCCTGTTTCACTTTTGCTTTCTCTGCTTAATCTCCTGCAGGCATTCACCTCAGAGTTCAGAGTTCATTGGGGCCAACACCTTCTGAGACCAGAGTTTGCAGAAAGCACCTACTACCTCTATAAGGTGACAGGGCAGTGCCATAAACAACTTAAATGACCTGTAAGTGGATGAAACTACTACACTTTGGCACTATATACACTAATATTTAAATGTCTGCAGGCCACTGGCGACCCCTACTACCTCAGAGTGGGACAGTCCATCGTGGAGAAGCTAAACGCCTACGCCAGGGTGCCTTGCGGGTTTGCTGCTGTGCAAGATGTCCGCACTGGGATGCATGAAGACAGGTAAACAAATGCCATTACACATGCTTCATATGTAATAGCAACTTTAGTTTGGTGTTAGCTGTTGTTATGGAAACTCAAAACATCTGTTATGAACATGCAATAACATCATATGTTTTCTGATGTGTAGGATGGACTCCTTCTTCCTGGCTGAGATGTTTAAATACCTGTACCTGCTGTTTTCGGAGAAGAGCCAGCTGCCGATCGATATCGACGACTACATTTTCACCACCGAGGCCCACCTACTCCCAGTGTCCCTCTCCATCACAAAGCCCCCCTATCAACGCAACCACACTGTAAGAATTATCAAGTTATATGAACACTAAAAATTACACCTCATATAGCTATTTTAAATTCTAAATATCTAATTTATACAAGCTGCTAGTAGATTCAATCATGACAAGGACATTTTAACTGTGTATGAATCAGTTATTATAGGAGTTCATGTCACAAGTAATTGAATAGTAGTTTTTATTTATTGTCCTAAGCAATACTGTTTATTGTTGACAACTACTGTGAACTGAGCAGCTGTCGGTCCTGTTCCTCAGGAGACTGTTCCTCTTCCCCAAGAAGAAGACCTGTTCACACACTCCTGCCCCAGCATGGAGACGTTATTCCCCAACAACCCCTCGTTTGCTAAAACCATCCGGGACAGCTACAAGTACCTCACCGGGGTGGGACGAGCCGTCCACCCTGTACCTGTCAGGTGTGGGACTTTTTAAAGTGAAATCCTCAGTGAAAACGTTTTTTACCTTGATTACTTTGAGTGTTAACTTATGTGTGTTTTTACTTTACAGGGAAATTGATCTCCCGTTCCATGACAATGGGATGGAACCAGTAGAGTTCTTGAAAAGCATGGGCATTTCTCTCACCCCGCTTAATGAGGTAATGGGAGGAGACAGTGTTCGAATGGTATTTCTTATAGACCTCACAAACGTTATGTTATGAAAGGAAAACATATTCTTGGCATTATAAGAAAACACAGAATTTCCTTGAGAGAGTTTCTAAATATGAATCCCTTTCAGGACCATAAAGGCATTTACCTGGTCAAACTTGTAGCAGAGGTGAGCCAAGCACCGGAGGAAGAGGAGGTGGTGCCCCATGTTGTTCAGCTCATATCCCCCCCATTTCTGGGTAGGACAGTCATCACAGCGGGACCTGCCAAGTTTGGGATGGACCTAACCAAGCAGGAGCACGGGGTGAGCTTCTAGTCACTATAATAAGATATATAAAAGGGAAAATGGCAAGCAAGATCAAAAATACAAACCACTTACTGCCCTGCAGCCAAAGAGACAGAGATGTAACTCTGAAAAACTACAAATAACATGCAATAACATACTCTTTTTCCTCAGGTGAAGGGCAGCATAGCGAAAGCCTCCCCCTACACTGCATGTGTGCCAGTAGATAATGCAGCGCAGCTTAAAGGGCATATTGCCGTGGCGCTGCGTGGGGACTGCATGTTCGCTGTGAAGGCTCGTCATCTGCAGGAAGCAGGAGCCATAGGAGTCATCTTTATAGGTGAGGACAAATACCAGATTACCACATATATTCTTTAAGTCCACCTCAAAGGTAATAGTGGCTATCAAATACTGACTTGGTCTTCAAAAAGACACCATCGTTCACATTGATTCCTTATTATTTTTCCTCAGACCACCGTGAGGGAAGCAACAGTCAGGATACGCCCCTCTTCCAAATGGTTGGAGACGGCGACTCCACTGAAGATCTCACCCTGCCTTTAGTCTTCCTCTTCAGCCAGGAGGGGGCCGTGCTCACATCCGCTCTGAAGGAAAATCACAATGTGGATGTGCTGCTGCTGCCCAAAGAGAGGCAGCTGGGACATGGTGAGGAGCATGGAGACAGATATTATAACAGTCCAAATACATTGGTCATTCTTAAAGCAACACTTCATGCAACAAGGAGAAATATGCAAAAACCTATATGAGTCTTAATAGCTATTAAGGCCAAAGATCACCATTTATAGTAAGGCAAGGCAAGTTTATTTATATAGCACTTTTCAACACAAGGCAATTCAAAGTGCTTTACAAAAAATGAAAGAAATTTAAGAAAATGGCATTTAAAATCAGTCATTAAAAAGAAAAGCTAATAAAATAAACATTAAAAGAAAAAATACATGGATAAAAGTTACAGTGCAGTCAATTAAACATTAAAAGAAAAAAGTACATGGATAAAAGTTACAGTGCAGTCTAAGATATGAATAGTTCAATTAAAAGCAGCGACAAAAAGATAAGTCTTCAGCCTGGATTTAAAAGTAGTCAGAGTTGCAGTAGTCAATCTATAGGTCTGAACTAGTTCTGGTTAGCCATTTTTATATGTTTTCATGGAAAAGGTCAATAGTTCTGATATATTTTCCCGGGTTTGAACTCTAGTGAGAAGGATGGGAGTAAGATTAAAGAATAAAAAATGTATACTTTCCTACTTTAACAAGATTCAGAAGGAGCACTGCTAGCCCAGCTAACACAATTACATCAAATCTTAATTCCTCTCGGTGGTCTTGTTCTAATTTTGCATATCATTGGCCTTCATTGTGCAGGTAAGACAGAAAAACCTGCCGGCATGAACATCAAACTCCGCTTGGCAGAGGAGGGGGAGCTGGAGGACGGAGCAGCCAGAGGGCCCACCCTGGAGTTTGTCTTGGAGAAAGATGGGATGATTCTTAAGGAAGTGGAGCAAGAAGCACAACACAAACAATTCTGCACAGAAGCCACAGAGGAGGACAGAACTGAATCATATTCAGCAGATTCCTCTCAAACTCAAACAGCGCTCTTGACCACTGCTGATCCAGAAGCAGTTTCCTAACACTGATCTCTCGTCAGTTTCTCAGAGCCCCTCACTGCCCTACACAGAGCCTGAACTGACCCCACCTGCATGTTTACAGAGGAGAGTAAAGCAGTGTGACGGTCATCTTCTCTTCCTGTCGTGACTTTGAAACCTAAATATGGTTTATCAGACAGAGAGACAACGTGGTGCAGATCTCTCTGGAATGAGGGATGAAATGAGACTAAAATCGGTAATTTAAGGCCAAAAGCTGTAGGTTAGGATGCCTGTAGTGTTGCTATTGTAGGCACATACAGTACATGGTGGTTGTGATGCTAATGACACGTAAATAATTGAGTAGAATTACTTCAGCTTAGAGCGAAATATAGATAAGGCCAAAATGTACTTAGCTAGGTTTTTTTTATGCAATGCAGTTTGTTTTTTAGTGCACCTTTTCACTTCGATAACTACTGTTAAATATTCAGTGATGGAGTATTACCTGGCCACTAGGTGGTGTTAGCTGCCGTAGATGCTCAATAATACAATGATAGATGAAGGAGATGAACTGGGGCCAATTTGGGACGTTTCTTTTTTATTTTGTACTTGTAAGCAACTTCAGGGAATTTAAAGAGTGAAAGCAATTTGCCAGGTTGACCTATTGTGTGTGTGTGTGTGTGTGTGTGTGTGTGTGTGTGTGTGTGTGTGTGTGTGTGTGTGTGTGTGTGTGTGTGTGTGTGTGTGTGTGTGTGTGTGTGTGGTGTGTGTGTGTGTGTGTGTGTGTGTGTGTGTGTGTGTGTGTGTGTGTGTGTATATATGTATGCATGCATGCAGAGGAAATCCTTACTTCATGCAAGGAAACAAGAATACAAATGTTGTAAGATTGACCATCATTTAATTCATAGTTATTATTATTATTAAGAAATTAGGTTTGGATTTTGCAGATGTTGTCCTTTACTTCCCCAAATACAAATAACTGCACTCATTATTAAATTGTAATTGATCATGCCATCTTGCAAACATTACCAAAGCTGTTTTCTTACAGCTGAAGTCTAAGTGTTACTGTTGCTAAGTCACACAGGTTGGTCTATGCACTTTGAAACACGGGTACGATTGTCTAAGCAGATTCATTAGTTTGTGTGTGTTGCAATAAGTAATAGTTGCAGTCATACATCGTCTCATTTACATTGTGCAATGATTAGATGTGTTTGGCCACCTTAAAATGTAAGGAAACTCTCCAGGGTTACTCACATTGTTTTAGTTTATATTCCATTGAGTGTGCTGAAGTACAGAAAGGTTTTTGCATCAGTCGGTAACATACGACCTGGAAAGGCCACTTTATTCATTTACATTGTTTTGATAAATACAGTGTTGTCTTTCTAAAACTAAACCATTATCTGGGCATTGATATGTGTAATCACTTCCATACATAAAAACTCTTTAATCACTTTGTTCATATTCACTTTATTCTCACTAATAATTTGTTGCATGATTTGTGTGTTTTGTGGTACATCAAATGTGAGCTTATGATTTATTTTGTTATACAGTGGACCTGTTCTTAAATGCTGCTGAATTAATGTAAAGTCTTAATCCAACATGATTGTTTTATCTTTATTGTATTTTAATTTTGTTTGCCTCGATAAGGCTTTTGCCAACCCATATACCTCAGGACTGTGTGTGTTACAGCTCAGAGAGAGAAACGGAGTATGGACAAGAAGCAGAGGATTCTTTTTTTAAATCATTTTACACGCTATTTTATTTCCAGCTGTCTAAGTTTCTGTTAAACAGTGGCTGAAAATCTAAGTGCCAAAAGAGAGGCGTGACACAGCTTCTGTTTCTGGTTTCTTCTCTGTATTTACTTTCTGACTATGAGCAGAGGCAGGCTCATTAATACAATCTTCTTCATCGTACATTTACATAACTGCATTTATCCGCAGCAGTGAGTATCAGCTCAGGAATTTTTCTTTCTACTAAAATAATAAAATCTGGAACTTCCACAGTCAATTTGTTGAACCTGACTTTAAAGCATGTTACTATTTCACTGTGTGCTGCTTCAACAAAATATGGTTTTAGTTTCAGCTTTGTTCAGAATCACCCATGGGTGAGACAGCACAGTCCCAATAAATGTGTTCAAGATTTAAACACAAGCCAATATTATTTTAATGGTAAAGTCAAATTATATGTATAGTTCTGAGTGTATGAAGCTCCTGGTGGGCGTGTAATTACATTGAAATTAAAGGAAATATATTTCCCACATGGTAAATCATCCATGTTATTTTTCAAACATTTATACTAGTAGTTTTTAATGTTGATTCATTAGATTTCCACATATGGAAGTCCAGTTTGGTGTTAGGTTTTCTTTTCTTTTAATTGTGGTTTTGTGTTTCAGCTCAGAGCAAACAAACTGTCACGAGATGCCATTCCCCATTTAAGCCAGTGTTTGGAAACTAATAATGGAGTTAATAGGCAGAATGGAAAACAATAGGATTAAATCAACCATGATGTGTTTGTTTATTTGAAGTATATCTTGAAATACGTTCATTTCATTTCACAGCACCTGCTACATACATACACTATTTGCTTATCAACTTTCTTCTTCAACCACTTGATTAGCAAATCTGAGCTGTTTAATGATGAATTGTGAAGAAAAAATGAATGATTGGCTATGTAAATGTAACAGCATTCAAATTAGATTATCAATTTGTATCAACATATCTCTGGCAGTGTGTAAATCTGGTTATTTAAACCGGTTTTACTACGTCATCACGTCTCACATCCACCTCCTGTGCTCTGTTCGTAATCTCTCAGTAAACTGTTGCCTTCAGGTAGTGTGGGAAACAGCGACTCCTCGGTTGTGGATCCTTTTTTACTAGCTGGTTTAAAACAGCTAGCTAAAAACAACGAGTTTATATATTGCCTTAATTCAAATTTTGTGTTCATCGAACAGCTTGTGGGTGGTATTTTGAAACATTTAAACCCAGAAGCATTTGTTTTTACTTTAGGTAAATGTACATCTATTAAACATATTTTAGACTTCAAGCATTTCTTCAAGCATTTTCAATTACATTTGGTAATTGGAATTTGACTGAAAATCCTTCTGGAGACAGATTCAGAACTGATTATACTAGGAATATCAGAGGCATTTATTAGGATACATTGGCGACTTCTGAGCATCACTGTATTCCCTATCAGCCAATAAGAATATACAGTAAATCAAATAAAATGTATGTATTTAATAAATAGCTTAAATTCCCTAAAGAAATCTAAAATGTCCAGATTTCACTTAGGCTACATATTATCAGGGAAACAGTGTTATATGTGAAGCTTTGTCCTATGTATACATGTCAAGAATATGTACGAATGCTTATAACAGAGGCTATTTAAAAGAAAAACACACACGTCTGCCAGGTAATCTATGGTCTATTGTTATTCCGGAGTCTACAAGGAGGCCTTGAAGGCAGCATGTCAAACTCACGCACACACAAACACACACACACCCACCCTCCTCGCGGGAAGCTCCGCTATCTTTAGACCCGCCACGGATTACACTGCGCAGTGTGTCACAGACTGCGTCCCGGTTACACCTGCTCGGTACATCTCTGTGAGTCCTTCACGCTGAAAAACATACACACGTAAAACAGGAGTGATGGAGGAATGACAACAAACTGCGTCTCCGTCTACGGCTCTCCGTCCCCGAGAAGACCCCCAGGATGATGCTGCTCTCCAGTCCGAGGAACGGACGCCTGCGCCAGGCCTCGCTGCTGCTGCTGCTCGCCGCGGTGCTCCTCTGTGTAGCTCCCGTCAGTGCTAGCCCGCCAGGTAAACACACAACGAACACGACAAAAACACTATAACCTTTGGTTGTGTTAGCGTATTCAGTCTTCTTATAAACAAATGTTAATGGGGCATCTTAAGTCAATTTATCAGGTCGTGACAAAAAGCAAGACAGAGGCTTGTTTTTATCTAAATAGTGTTTTTGTTTTAATTCACCGAGTAGTTTAGTAAGACACGTGTGTTTTTCTGACTTTTTATTTGTATTGTTGTTTATGGTGTTAATAGGTTTTGTAGTAAATATAGTGGTTTGATAGTATTGGACATAACATAAATTCAGATTTATATATACAGTCTATGGTTCAGATTTTAGACAGGCCAGGTGAGTGAGGGAAAAACAAGGGTTAACAAAAAATACTAATTCCCTTTCTTGTAAAGTGAGTCATTTCCTTATATGCTCACATATTTTTACACTAATGTATCCTGAATGTGGACACAGCCATATTTGTAGATTGTGATAGATAACGCTGCTTTTTAAACAGTGTATTCATGTGTTCATAATCGCCATTAATTAGTTCTTAACCAGTACATCATTTATCAGCTTAACTTCTATCACAGTGAAATTACTTTGTGACATTTTCAAAAACAATACTGCTTATTGATCTGAGCTGCAGTCACACAATCCAAATCATTTCGCTAGGATTGGGGAAAAGAAAGCAGCTGTCTGTACTTTGATTATATTTAAACTATAACATCTGCAAAAAAAACAACAAGGAATTAATTTAGTAAATCTCTTCGCAATTGAATAACTGTCTTTAGCACTTTTTAGAATATGCTGGAAGCACGGCCCCAGCAGACGATTGTTTTAACTATTGAATAATCTATCTAGAGTATCCTTCTCAATTAATCTCTAAAATGTCAGGATATTGTGAAACATGTGATGTATTTAAATTAGGGCTGTCAAACGATTACAATTTTTAATCAGATTAATCACAGCTTAAAAATTAATTAATCATGATTAATCACCATTCGAACTATGTCCAAAATATGCCATTTATTTATGCATATTGTTGTGGGAATGGAAAGATAAATGAAAGAAGGCGGATATATCCATTTAACATACAGTATCTATGTTTATTATAACATTTTTCTGCGTGTCAAAATGAAAGTCAACCCACACACCTATCAATCATCAAACCGTGGGGTCTTAATTCATTACGTGTTGATTTCTATCAACGGGGAAGTACTTCAGGAAAGTCGACGGGGGGGGGGGGGGCGGCGGCTAGTGGACTACTTCGTGACCACAGAGTGTGAACGTTGTGATCAGCTGTTTTAGCGCAGTTCTCCAGTGAAGGGGGGGAGTCTCCCTCCGTAGCCGGTTGGCGTAGTTTTGGCACAATTCCGTTGTACAGACCGACGTTAACAGCAGCCCTGTCTGTGCACACGGAGACCGACTCTGTCGTCCGGTGATCTAACCGCCTTCTGGAAAAGCTTCACAAGTACGTCGGTACGCAAATGCGCTTTGTGACACAAGTGACGGTACGCATTTCAGAGAGATTACGGACATAACCTGCGTACCAGTTATGTGCACCCCTGTACTACAGCAAAAGTATTCTCCGTCGGGACTTCCTGCAACAACACCGCGCCGTTATCAAAGATGTTCTATTGAGAAGACGATCACTACGTGACAAAAGTTTTCAAAACCGTGGCTACTGAAATCCATCTTACTAACTGCTGTCTGTGCAATTTACTCCGCGCGAGTTGGCAGACTTTATTTTGCTTACTTTAACATCATTTGTCATGGTGGGGCTAAGCCATTTCTTGGTATGGGTGTAGCCTATCTCAGCCATACCCTGGCGCTGCCACTGGTGGCACGTATGGGGCGGGCCATTCTGCACATGCGTTAAATGCGTTAAATATTTTAACGCAATTAATTCAAAAAATTAATTACCGCCGTTAACGCGATAATTTTGACAGCACTAATTTAAATGTCTTGTTTTGTCAGTCCAAAACCCAAAGATATACTATTTATATTTATATTCTTTAAACCAGAGGAAATCACAAATTGAAACAATTTTTTTTTGGCATTTTTGGAAAACAAACAATGAATCAAAGAAAATTGTTAATGGAAGTTGTTTTTCTGTCATTGGACTCATCTAGTCGACGTGTGTGTGTGTGTGTGTGTGTGTGTGTGTGTGTGTGTGTGTGTGTGTGTGTGTGTGTGTGTGTGTGTGTGTGTGTGTGTGTGTGTGTGTGTGTGTGTGTGTGTGTGTGTGTGGTGTGTGTGTGGTGTGGTGTGTGTGTGTGTGTGTGTGTGTGTGTGTGTGTGTGTGTGTGTGTGTGTTGTGTGTGTGTGTGTGTGTGTGTGTGTGTGTGTGTGTGGTGTGTGTGTGTGTGTGTGTTGTGTGTGTGTGTGTGTGTGTGTGTGTGTGTGTGTGTGTGTGTGTGTGTGTGTGTGTGTGTGTGTGTGTGTGTGTGTGTGGTGTGTGTGTGTGTGTTGTGTGTGTGTGTGTGTGTGTGTGTTGTGGTGTGTGTGTGTGTGTGTGGTGTGTGTGTGTGTGTGTGTGTGTGTGTGTGTGTGTGGTGTGTGTGTGTGTGTGTGTGTGTGTGTGTGTGTGTGTGTGTGTGTGTGTGTGTGTGTGTTGTTGCTGATGTTTGCAGGGGAGATAATCTGCTTCTGAGCTTTTAACACAGAATCCCTGTGGGAGAACCAACAGCTGGACTCACATGTAATCTTAAGCCTTTATCTGAGGGGCCCACACAGACACTCACACAGAAACACACTCACACAGAACATGTACTGCCTCTTCATTTTTGCTTGTGTGCACGATAGAGAGGATGTGACGCAGTGTCTGCATTGTTTTCTTCCAGTAAGAAGTCTGGTCATTTTTTTGCTTTGCATCAAAATTCAACCAATGCCAATACTTCCTCACTCAAATGCTGAAAAACCTAACTGTTATGAAAAAGTTAATTTGGTGACATAAAGAAGTTTTCAGTGTCAGAATTTGAGATGGAGACAAAGCTGTCAATTCACTGCTGCCTCCAGTGTGTCTCGTCTCCAGAAAAGAGTCAAATGTTTGCTGTCATCACTAGTGAAAGGATCTTTCTAGAGTTTTCAACACCTGT